GTTTGTTACTGAAGATTATACGACACTTCTGACAAGTCGATTAATTGAATCTAAGTGTCCATAATATAAAACGATAGAGGACACATGACGGAAAACACTAAAAAAACTAAAGTCATAATCAATGGAGTATTCTCTTTTATCCAAAATCACTCAGTAAAAACTAATTGTATTGTGAATATCAATCATCGTTTCATTCATATAATGACAAGAACTTGATCTTTTTGAAAAGTGATTGCAGCATCAATGATAATGATATTAAACGATTAGTTTCTTCGTTAAGTTGTAGTTCTCTGCACAATGCTCTGTCTGTAGTACTATTCTGTTGTTTTTAATCGGATTTGAAAGAAAAGAGATTAGAGACATCTAATCAATAGTTCGAATCGAAATACATGATTGTATGCCGCATTTTGTTGCAAAACCCTACACAGAGGTTAGTTTTTGATGAAATTTTTGCAAAATCAGATCGGTATTTTTAAAGGTAGTATAATATATTGACGTTTTGTTTCATTGATAGATAACTGAAAGTGTCCTCTAATAAGTAAGAGTCATCCAGACTCTTATCACTATCATGGTTTTGACTAGGCATCGGATTTTCTAGGAGTCCTACAACTACTTTCCTCTGACTCCTTGTAATCTCAAAAACTGATGAATTATAGATTGTAGAGCATACTAATTCTCGTGACACTTTTTGTTTTTCGATCAAACGTCAACAACTTAGTGAAAATCTATATTAAATCATTTTTGGTTATTTTTTGAGAAAATTAAAGCGTTCAGCTAACTCAGCCGTAGGCAATCCAAACCACTTTCAGAATAACAGATATTAAGATATTTATAGAATATAAGATATTCCCTATTTTATCGATTTACTTAAAGTTAGTGAAACACATTTTTCTATTTCTAAAGATTCTTTAGAAAAGCGTTTTGAAAAATCGAATTACTTTCTATTAATTTCTTAAACTTTTGTTGAATTTCAGGCTTTATAAAATAGAACTAAAACTTCCATTTATTAGAATACTTTCAGTTATCTATCTATGAAACAAAACGTTAATATATTATACTACCTTTCAAAATACCGGTCTGATTTTCCAAACATTTCATCAAAAACTAACCTCTGCGACAAAATGCTCCGTGTCTCTAATCTCTTTTCTTTCAAATCTGATTAAAAAAACAGTGATGTGTCTTCTAATTTGAAATGGTTGCATCCAGCCGGACGGTGGGATGAACCTTAAATTTTTATGATATTAGAATAAAGGTAAATTTATTCAGTTACAAATCACGCGCTGAAATTGAATGATTATTTGAGTAACATTGATAATTATTTATACATGATATGGTTGTGATATGCATGAAAATTGCAAATAGAATTGTTTTCTAGTAAAATCTTAACTCACAAGAGCAAACGTGTGAAAATCTATTTGAGTAAGTGGAGAAATAGAGCGTACATATCATACAGGTTGAGCCATTTTCAACTTCCAATTGTTCTCAGAAAAAAGTGTATAAACTTTATCACACTCAGATATATATAAAGTGTGAAATCCTATTATGATCATTTAAAGATAGGTGTGATAGAGAAGAAAAGAACTTTAATTAAGTGCAATGTAAATGAAAGAAGGAAGGAAGAGGCATCGTAGACAACAATGGCTGATTATAATCATAAAAAAAGATGATCAGTATGTAAAGAAAAAACGCTGAGTATTCAACGAACTTTGAAGAGTTATAAAAATAGATGAGCGGCGTAAAATGTGAAACTTATCAAAGTTGAATTGCATTTCATAGAGGCAGGTATGCATTGTCAATTGATTGATAACATGAATCCAACTGTAACAGTTAGTGTTGCAGATGACTCTTGAGGGCAAATATGTGTGAATTTGAAATCGCGAGCAAATATACACTTCATCTTCAATTATGACCAATGTGATACTGTAGAAGTGAATTTAAAACGAAGACAAGAATGAGTTGATTTAGTGTTGTTCATTTTCTCTTTTTATAAACAATTTCAAAATTTTTCAGATTTTAAGAACAAAAATACGGATTTTCAAGTGAAAATGATTTGAATTTTATCAATGTGAAATATTATGTCACAAAGTGATATCGATTTGTGATTATTTGAAAAATTTCTATCGTGGTATGAGAAATTACTTATTCAAGATAATATAAACTAGCCGTCGTTCTCTTCTATAAATAACATCTAAGACTTTTGCTACTAAAACTTACAACTAACTATATGATTTGATTCATTTTGCATGAATGCACAAAAAAAAAAATTTTCTTTTTTTCTCTTTATTTTTTAAATATTAATGTAAAACAATGTGTACATACATTTGTACAGAACCTATCTCTATCGTTTTTCTCTTTTGTTCTCTCTTAGCTTTACTCAATGTTGATGTTCATCATCTTATACATGAGAAATATATGATTGCTATATATTTATTCTGTGTAATTTTTTTTCGGAAAAAAAATATATATAAATCATGTATGAAGAAAAACTGAAATAGAATTGGAGCGTTTGTAAGAAACGAACCGTCAAAAGATTGATGGATGGAAAAAAATGTCTTGGGACCACCCAATAGCATTATTAAAATTAGATCGAAATTAAACTTTTATTTTATTACAATACATTAAAAAAAAGAAGAAAAAATTTCTTGTGATATAAAAAGAAATACTACCTCCATAGAAATTATCATTTTCACAGATGTTCAAAAGGTTTGAGAGACGATAAAAGAGAAAAAGAATCTATCCAGCCGCGTTTGATTGACTATTACTTTTAGATTATTTAAATGAAACATGGTTTACGTAGTATCATACGAAGTTTAAAAAAAAGTCCTTTTCAGCTTCGAATAGATTTATAGCGACCTCTATAAACGGTATGGTTTTGTTGATCAATATTTCATTTGTTTTTTCTCTATTTTATTCGAAGTGTCAAGCAAAAGACTTAGATATTACGTTTTTCTCACAAATTTTCAGTAAAATCAAACACCATATAATTGAAGTATAAAAAATTCTTTTTTCTTATAACAAATTTAGAGTCTATTGTAACCAGGCCGTAATGGAAACACCAAGTATAATACACTAACTGGAAAAATAAAATTCAAATAAAACGGTGAATGATTCTTATTTCTAAAATGTAATGGGTTCAACTAGGTCAAAAAGAGAACGAAAATGTGCATTGTTAGACAAAAGAAAATGAGATATGAACAATAAGCATTCAACTTCACATACATCTGGACAAAATCTGTTCTTAGCTCCGTTTATCTTTTGGCAATAGGAGAATACAGTTTAAAAATAAAAATGATCAAATTATAAACTTTTTTTCCAAATTTTTAGTATTTCAAGAACAAAGTACTTCACGTTGCTTTTTTGTATGACGAATGCAGAGAACAATGTTGAAATTTATATACTTCCCTCTATTATGTGTATTGCGTGTTTCTCTTTATTCTTATTGGATAAACACGATCAATCTTCATCATTCTCTTTTTTATTTTTTCATTGGGTGTGAATACTTTTTTTACGACTAAGTGAAACTTGACTCTGATATATAGGTTTTTTGTCTTCTATTTTTACATAATAAACCAATTATGCGTAACATTGGGGCTTTGACTGATGGACTGGTGATTATTGTAACGAGATGACCCAACATATAAAGAAAAAAAATCATCATAAAGCGTTGTTGACTCTCGGCTGTCATCATAGTTGTGAGGATAAATTGAGCAAAACAGCTTCAATAACAACAAAAAAAAAAAATCTTTATCATGTGCTCACAAACAACTACGTAAAAGTGAGAGAGCAAGAAAAGAAAAAGTCAATATATATAGAGAGAGAAAGAGAAAAAGAAAAAAGAAAGTTTTCTTTTCACACGCTTGTGGCTGGATGATTTTCATCTTAATATTTTTTCAACTACGAACCAGCTTAATGGACATTTTTTTCCCGTTCTATACAGTCGAAGTGTATGTTTTTCTTTTACTAGAATCATTATATCCTTAGCACTTATATACACATACAGTCGCGTCACTATCACCATCATTAAAGTCATACTGTGAAATATATCAATAACAAAACATGGCGAAAAAAAAAAGAAATAGCATGATAACGCGAAAAGCAATAGAAAAATCGGCGAAAAAAGGTTTTATTTTTTTCTCTCTTTCTCTAAATCATAGAACTAACAGAAAAGAGAGAGAGAGAGAGAGAGAAAGAGTTGGACGAACGAGAAGAAAACGTTCACCATTAAGACTAATTATAAGTGGCAGTTCGTGACAGTGGATTCACACACAAAACCCATCTCCTTTTTTGAACCGTCAATTTTTCTTTTTTTTTTAACATTTAACAGACAAGTGTCTTCTATAGACAGATTTATAGATTGTAGTATAGATATTTATAGATGGTGAAAAATAATAGAAAAAAAATAATTTTTTTTTACTGATAAAACGAGAGAGACGAAGAGAAAGAGAGAGGTGAGAAGTATCGTATATGGAAGATTGATATACATATAAAAATCTATCAAACCATATATATCAAACATTGATCACGTCAAACAGTATAATAAATTCGACAGATATGAAGAGTATATATTACATAACAACGACGACAACAACAACATTTTCTCTTCTTTTTTTTCTTTTTTTTTTTGAAATGAATAAAAAAAAAATTTATCTCCATTATTAACTTTGACTGCTTGTCGCTTAAATATTTATTAATTCTTTTTCTTCTTCTTCTTCTTCTCTCTGTCTCTCTCTCTGTAGATTTTCAAGTACAAATTAAAAAACGAAGTATATATGTGTTATTGCTAATGTTTGTTCCATTATGATGAACATCATCATCATCATCATTATATCAAATCTTATTAATTAAAACCGGATTTGACATATATCATCGATTAACTCTAATTTATTAGAATATATTAACCGACATATATCCTTCAAAATAAACCACTGCTGAGATACTACGTCACTCAAATATTGTAGTAAATATATCATATTAGACATCCATCCCGGAAGTAAATTTATATGGCTCAGAGGGTAATAGTAATATATATTAAATATTAATTAAATAGAGAAAAAAAAATCTAGATCGGCTTTTTCTTCTAACATAAATAATTCTTGTTTTTAGCGTCCACCACCACCTACAAATGGTTATGGCTATTCATTTCCCATCGAACATGATCAGAATAATACATATCAAGATCAACAACGACGACAATACGATTTAGTAGTGGCATCATCATCTTCACCGACTACCACTATGTATCAACAAAATGTATTAGCCACTGCCACAACATCGGGTACATCGAATTTGGTTGTTAATTCGAATGGAGTCGAAGGACAAATAAGTCATCATTCATCACCAACACATCGATCATCCAATAGTCCAGAAACTCAAATTAAACAAAATAAAGATATGATCTACAGGTAAGTCGATTGAAAGACATAGTTAGAAATAAATCTTTAAAATGATACCTTATCTATCATATTAACCGATAATTTTTGTTTACTGCTATAATACAATAATTCAATAATTGTTTATTCTAAGTTTTTCATCAGTTGAGAATTCTCAAAAAACAAAAAAACCTGATTGTTATCAAATTTAACACTAAAATCATTTTTTTTGCACGTACGAAAATGTAGAGTCTTATACCACATTTTCAGATATAATTTCATCAGGCGTCTACATACTTTTGTTGTATCAGTGAAATAGTGAATAGTATGTAAGTGTACAATCTTCATAGTAAATATAGTAAAAAAGTTGAAAATTTCTTTTGTCTTTTTGTTTTTGGCATATTTATAATATTTTAAATAGTGACAGATTGCTCATATATTTTCTTTTTTGCTTCGTCTAATGTATATAATAGGAAAATGCGTAATATTATAATATTATTTTACTCCTCATGTTACATATGTATATTGTCATCAAGCATCATCTGGAAGCGCGCGCGCACATACATCGATGATATATCAACATATATCAAAAATATTTTTAACATTTTTTCTTTTTTCAAATATACTGTATGAAAAAAAGAAAGAAAATAAACGTATCTTTTTTTATATAATGTCAAAAAAAAAAATAAAAATGAACGAATCACTTTGTTTATAAACTACTTTTTCTTCTTCTCTCTTTTCCTCCTTTCTCTATCCAAAACATGAGTGATTTTTGTTCATATAATTTATTTTTGATAAATGGTCTAATGTCAGAAAAAAAATATATACAAATTCTTCTATAGCGTGACTATTATAGTTGATACACATAGAGATGTCAACATTTTTTTTTTTTTTTGTTGAGCTTGTTACACACATACACACACATCGTTGACAAAAAGATGATAAAACTTTTTTCCGATGGAAAAAGATGAGTATAGTCTTCATCAATTAATACATTGAGTCCACGTGTTGCGATTATCATAACAGATTATTTTTACTTATACAAGAAAAAGTAAATTATTGTGAAGTCAGACAAGATTAAAAGAGCAAGAGAGAAAATATCATTTGTTCATTCATTGTAAATTAGATAATGATAACAATTTTGCCTTTTGTATGATATAATATTCTTCACTTTTTTGTTCGCTTTTGAGTAGATTACTATTCAAACGCATATCTTTTAGATGCGCGTATGACGATATTCATACCTATTATCGTATTGTTTGAGATCCTCTATAATTTTCTTTTCTATTTTTATTTTATTCACAATACATATTGATGATGATAATCATATTCAAAGTCATTGGTCCGATTCACCTTCGAGCTGCTTTTCAAAATATAATTTTCAATCGATCAGTATCTTCATGCTTCAAATATCATCCATTGTATGATGATACATTATACATACCTTTGATTAGAAATTCAACAAGAAAAAATATATCTCATAAAATACACACTCTTTTCTGTTTCTCATCGTTGAATAAACGACCGAGACAAGTTAAATCCATTCAATTTCGTTACCTAAACTAACAGGATGTGTTCGGTCTCTGATCTAGTAGAAAGATCTTGAATATATTTCTAGACATTAAAGACACTCATATTCTAGAGAAAATAATCAAATACCAATATGAAAAATAGAGAAATCTTCAAATTTAGAGTTCTAAATACTATACTGAAAGCCAACATTGTGATTTTTGATATAAGTTGAAAAATTCGTCTCCTAGTTATACGAAGAACCAATATATTTTACAAAACTATAATTATTTGTCAACAAGAACAAGTTCATGAAGCTGTTGAAATTTTAAGAAGAGTTGGCACTGTTCATTTTACTCTAATCAACCTTTTTGATTGTAAAAGTTCAATGACTTGTTTACCGTGTTCTAAACAGAATCTAAATATTGTGGAATTAGTGTAGAAGTGACTTTTACCCAAACAAATTTACAATTACAATATTTTCCGACAACAAATACGTTAGATTCTACACAAACTCATCTCTCTTTCTCTCTCTCTCTATTTCAATTATATATTCTCTATCGTTTCTTTTTGTGGTTGTTATTTCCACATCGCTATAGCTAGGTTAATCTTGTTCGTAATATCATATTCTATACTACTAATCATACATACATACATTTACATTCTTCTATAAGACGATTTTTCTTTCTTGCCTTTATATTATAGTATGGTGTATTTTGTCAGTGCATATTAGAGCTAGTTTTCCTTATCAACAAAGCGAAAAGAACATTTATATATACAATCAAGATCTTTTTTCTTTGTTACAACCTTATCATCACTCGCTCTCTCTTTTTCTTTTTCTCTTTTTTCTCTCTTATTTCTCCATATTTGACAGTGATTGATGATCATTACGCCTGCTGTTCTAAATTTGGTTTTCTGATAATATTTGCTCCTCGAATTTATGCGATAAAAAGAAGAAAAGAACGCTTATTATTATTATTATTATTATTACTATTACTATTGTATTCATCATACATGCGCAAAAAATTATTATTGGTTTTAATCTAAACTTTCTTCTGGTTGAAAGAACGAATACGGTCAAAATAGTTTTGACAATAATATTAATAATGAGAGGGAAATAAATAAAGTTGTTGTTCTCCACGATAAATTGACCGTATCTAGAATTGGCATCAAATACAAAAAAAAAGAGGATTTGAACGACTCTTGTAAATTGATATGACTGTAATCGAAATACAAAGGTAGTTTGATGTTATTTTTTATTTTAAACTCTTTTCTTCTCTGTACTCTACCGTATAAACGTTCTTTTTTTAATGTTTTCTATTATACCTAATAGATAAGTGTAAAATAATTAGATTTTTGACAGTTATATCATAAATAATATCGATATTTAGTATTTTCATAATTATCTCCGTTTCTATGATAATCAAAAGTTTAATCTTGAATTATATATAAATTAATAGTACAACGGCAAAATGTTTGTGTTGGAAATATTCATTGCTATTTCAAGCAAGAATGATAACATTATGTTCAATAAGCTTGTTTGAAAACAGATGATTTGCGTTTGCCATTCGAGTTAAGAATGAACTAATATACTTGTAATGAAGATCTAACTTCAACTAATTTATTTTGCGCAGTATTTACATTTTCTAAACAATTCTCAAATGTACAATCTCAGAAGTTTCTTATTGTCAACAAGATTATCATTTTAGTATTTTCTTCGAGGACTACAATTTTACTTTCATGTTAGATAAATCTTTCTTGTCTTATTTAGGCATCCATTATTTCCATTATTGGCCTTAATATTTGAAAAATGTGAATTAGCCACATGTACGCCGAGAGATGGTGGTGGATCCGGTGATGTTTGTTCATCAGAATCATTCAATGACGATGTTACCGATTTTGCTAAACAGGTTTGTTCTCTCTTCTTTTTCTTTTTCTCAAGATAATAGCACGCGCTTTGAACTTCTAAAACTAACTCTATATATGTTAACTAGCCGTTTGTTTCTTATCATTATCAACATACATTATGGATTATATTTACATTCAATAGAAAACACCTCTTACTTACAAATTCATAATATCAAATTCGAATAAAAATATTATAATCGTGTATGTAGGGAGACCAATGCACATAGAACAATGCACATAGAACTGTAATCATAAGAGTCTTTTTGATAAGCCACTTGAAACATACATATATACATAGTCGAATAAAAGAGAAGTCAATATATGTGTTTATTAATATGATCAGAGTATGGCATGAAGTTTTCTTGTCTGTTTGCTTTGTTAGCTTACTAGTACTTGAACATTATTAGTTAGTGAATACTTAGATATTAACACAAGATTGTATTTGGTTAGAAAAACTGAAAAAAAATAACAACAAAGAAGTATCGTTTTATGCAAGCGTCTAATCTCTTATCTGAAGAGAACATATACAGGTTAAAATGGAATTTTTATTATAATTGTTTAATAGAAATACATACTATTTTCAATTAACTGTATATTCATATAATTTATGGTTATTTTATTTTTTTTATCAATTATCATGATGCATAACATTTTTGATAACATCAATTTATTCTGTATCTTTCTCTATAATTATTGTTCGCTCATTATTAAAGTTACCCTCATATAATCATGTTTAGAATGTGTATAAAGATAACGGGTTCAGCTTCGTAAGAAATTGATTATCATAACAATAATATTAGAAATATATCCTTGAAAAAATTGTTCTATTCATCAATCGAGTCAATGTGTGTTTAAATATAATCTTAAAAAATGACAGCAACAACATCACCTCTCTTTTTACCAGTATATTAAATAAACCTTTTATTCAAGCATAATAGTATTTTATTGTGTGCGTGTGTGTGTTGTTGATCAAGAATACTTGTTCATCATAATTTTAAAAAAAATATTGAGTTTATGCATCCTGCTGTTGAACAATATTGCTCATATTGTTCTTACAAGATAGATAGAAGCGGGAGGGTGACACTTATATTAAAAAATAAATTTGAAGATGAAGAAGAATTTTATTGGTTAGTAATCAACTGTCAACAGTATAGTTTCCTTATTCTTTATGTTCAGTTAATTTACTAGGCATAAATGAAAAAGAATGTGTTAGAAAATGCGATTAAAAGAACAAAGAAAGAAGAAAAAAACACATGCTTTGTACAAAAGTTTTTTTTTAATTACAATAAATACATCAGATTGTTTGGTTAACAAAAAAATGCGTTAAGATAGAGAAAATTGACATCTTTTGTTTCCTTAAATCTTTGAGTTCCAAATTTTTCTGGTCAATCAAATTTTGTGAAACATGGTATAAACTATATAAGAAGGCATTTATAGACGCTCTATTTTTTTACTTATGCATTTGATAATAAAACAAAACAGCTTTTTACACAAAGATCGTGAATAAAATATAGTTATACACACTTCCTACGAATTGATTAGACTCACGTCTGGCAAGGGAGACGCAACAATCAATTACTAAGATTATATATGACAAAGATTCTTCGAGACTGTCCAAAACTGTCGAAATTTAGTGGTGGTAAGCGTACTTACCACTGGAACTCAAAGAGTTAAACTAAAGAGATCAAATTGATGTCGAAACACTAGTTTTAATTTTAAATCCATTAAATGTAGAAAAACTTTTGACGTCTCTGTTGAACCTCTTAAAATGTTTAAAATGTCTATTCTATATCGTTCTGTATGACACCGTTTTATTATACATCAACCCCATGATCTCGTTCATTCTTAGTGTGGATGATGTAAGCGTTCAGAAAATACTTCGATAGAACGCTGCGAAATTTCACGTGTATGTGAAAAGTTTACAAATTACTTTTGAGAAGAAATAAAAGCAAGGTTATGTTTTATATTTGACGAGTGGATATTGATCACATACAATCGTTTCATCAATAAACAAAGATACAGTTGTTACAAATATTTTTTTAAGAGAACTGAGATTATGCATACTCGAACACAGCACGTGGTTTCTTATCTCTCAGTTGTGCTAATTCATTCATTCAAAAATAGAGAAAAAGTGCTCTGAGGATACGTTATTAAAATACCATTAACTGATTTTCTCATCGAATACATTTTTTATCATAAAGAAGAGATGAGACAAGTAGTAACATCTGAAAGGAAGAAAGATGATAATAATCTTGATGATTTCAAATTCTTCAGTCCAATTTTGTATATATGCACACACACAAAAAACGACTATTCGGCCATAGGGACATGTTTTAAAGACAAATGCTTTTTTTTTTTAATGAAATGAAAGGTACTTTTCATCATCATCATCATGCATAGACTAATTTAATGGTGATAAGTCTGCAGTGAAAAGAGATTTTTTTTGTCAATTGTCACAATTTCCTGTTCTAATAAAAATTGATTTCTTTTTCTATCATTCTTTTTTTCTTTCCTCATTATATAGAAAAAATGAAACACCTGCCAGTTGTGCAATACAACAAGTCATTTGTTAAAAGAAAAAAAATTGATGGTTTTTTTTCTCCTTCATACACAAAAAAAGTCAATAGAAATCCAATAGAAAGAGGAAAAAATTAAGGAAATATGCTTGATTAATTTTTCTACAATAATAGTGGCTCTTGAGTTGGTTTAAGAGATCTCAATAAATCCATTGATTGAGCGCCTGCATCTTTTAATTAAAAAGTGACATGACAAGACCATCTTCTCAAATATTCCTATTTATAATACAGATAAAGATGTGCATGATTATGGAGAGATCAAAACCCGAAAACGTTGTTTTCGTACAGACCTCGATTAGACAGTAACTGACATAGAAACGATCATAACAAAAGTCATTGAGTTTGATCAAGCCCAGATATATGTCTCATATTGTATAGAAATTATCATAAACTACTCAACAAGCAAAACGAACTACTAAAGTTTTCATTGCGATATTTCTAATGTTAATTTTTATAGTGATTTACAAAAATTGATTATGAAAATTTTGACAGAACTTAATGTTGAACATTTTATATTTAAATAAACTCTATTTTTTTTTTATTTTAGCTTCAAAAAGAACAAACGTACATGACAACAAATCTCGAATTAGATAATTTAGTAAGTTCTAACTATTTTGTTGTATAATCGAATTATTATTATTTACTCTTTATGTTATAGATGATTCAAGCTGTTCAAGTACTCCGATTTCATTTACTTGAATTAGAAAAAGTAAGTTGTTTTTACTATCCTTATTTATCCTCATCTAGGCTCTATCCTATATATAGTTCAAGAGTTAATAGATTATATACATTCACATAATCATCGAAACTGTCAACAAACTAATTTATCTTACTTAATCAAATCAGATTTTTTTAATTTTCTTTCTTTTTTATTTGTTCTAAGAAAATAAAAAGAAGACATCTTTCATTGACCGATTTATCAGACAGTGATGACTATCAATGATTAGTATAATCTCTCTTTTTTCTCTCTTTCTCTCTTTCTCTCTTTCTCACTCATTTACTCACTCACTATAAATAATGATCGATACATGTAAGACAAATTATGTCTATGCGTACAAAGGTCGCAATATTTCCCACATCCTTATATAACTAAAATAAGAGATAATTTTTTAAATTACTATCTATCATCTATTTTTTTTGTTTTGTTTTTCAGGTACATGAATTATGTGATAATTTTTGTCATCGTTATATAACATGTTTAAAAGGAAAAATGCCAATGGATTTAGTTATTGATGAACGCGATTCAAATGTTTCATCATCAAAATCAGATGATGAACAAAGTGACGATACTAACAATAATAATAATAATAATACGCCAACAAGTTCACGGTCTTATAACAGTCCACCAAATGAAACATCCTATTCTAAAACAGTATGTATTGAATTCAATTATCTTGTTCAAATATTGGAACGATAAATTTCTTAATTAGAAATTATAATTATGATATCTAATTGAATATACTGACTCTTTCATTTATATTTGAAACAATATAAAATTAATTTTCTTACAACAAAACAAATGCGATATAGAATAATAAATTTGCTTTATATCAGTTGTCATCAAAATTAGGGGTAGAAAAATTCCACTTCAGTTCTGTTGAACGGTAACTGATTAGCCGTTTTCGTTCTATAAATGGGTACTACTGAACGTTTTTTTTCAAAAAAACATGAACTGGTTACCAGTTCTTTTCAAGAATTCAATATAAATAAAATCGGCATTGACTTTGTCTAGTGGGCTAAAGGTAGGTGGTGCATTTAGTGGACTAAACAAAGTCAATGTAACTAGCTTCATCAGTTTTATTTTACATAGCATTCTTGAAAAGAATTAGTAATCAGGTCGCGTTCTTTTGAAAAGAACGTTCAGTAGTACCCGTTCATAGAACGAGAACAGCTAACCAATTCTATCCACTAGTTCTCGGGAACTTTAGAAACTAAAACAGTCTTATTTCTAATCAAAATAAGGTCTTTTAAAGAAGTCAAATTTCTTTTTCTCTCTCTTTCTCATCAGCAACTGTCTTTTCTATTTAGCTTTTTTAAACAAATATATTCATCTAATATATTATAATAGCCATGTAAACATATCAGATTCTCTATTCTTTGTTTTGTTGTTGTTGACGCATCCAAGTGTATAGAATAATACAATTGAAAATTAAGATTTTCAACTTAATTTTGAAGTTATAGTCGAATTGTTATATTCTAGAACAACGTGCATCACTCTTTTTTCTCCTGTTTATAAGTAAAACAGAAACAAAACTTCGTTGAACAATAACTTCTTCAACAAGGTGTCAGGAGTTATCCTTTTTTTGTTTCACACTAGTCAATTGAATGTGTCAAAATATCAATAAATGAGGTGAAGAATACAATATTATTGTCTCACATATAAAAATAATCGAAACATCTTAGCTTTTTTCCAGTTTCAAGTGGATCTCTTGCAGTCTATATGATTTTCCTTTTTTTCTTGACATTTTTAGTTAAGATCATCGTCTCACTGTTCACAATTAAATGGTCTAACATCACATAACCATAATTCATCATCCACTGTCGCGAATCATCATCATCATCATCATCATCATCAACATCATCATAGCAACAACAATCACAACAATGCTCTTCATACCAACGGGATTACAAATAGTGCAAATGGCATTGGTGGTAATGCAAGTAGTCATCATTCAGTTCATAGCGATGATACACAATCAACACATTCGTCAGATACTCCAAATGGTTTAACTCCGAACAACTGTCATGTATCACAAAGTTTAGACAATAACAGTGAAGCTGGTAAGTTAATTTTGATTTATATTTAATTCAGAATGAATAGTTAATATTTAGATCTAAAATAGTTTTTCACATCCCGTCTAATCATGATTATCATAATAATAATAATAACAATAACATATTCATTATATATATATCCCGTGTGTAATGAAACATAGATCTAATTGCAAATAAAAACATTATCAGTCTGCTTATACATTTTTCGCATATGTGTCTATATCTATAGAGATAGATAGATTTATTACAAATTTGCGTGTAGAATATGTTCAAAAAAGAAAAATCAAATGTTTATGTAATGATCAGTATCTATATATATATATATATTATATTTTTTTTTGCCGACACATATACACAACATATTGGTCTTGTCAGTTCAAAGCACCAGGTCATTTCATCCATTAGTGTGTTTGTTCTTGTCTTTTATACGTGCTTTACTAATGATACATATTGTTAGTAACAATTCTGTCTCATATTTTTTACGTGACTATAAGACAAGGATATATCCCTCGTTCTCCAAGAAACGAAGACGCAGCGTAGAGTTTTTTGCTAAAATTTTCTTGTCATTTGTGATTATTATTCTCATCATTAAGTTATCCATTTTTATCTTATTCTATACCAAACATTGAATTAAAAGAAATGTATTAAAATATGATAAGTGTGAGACAAGACAAGAAATCACTTTATAACGTTGTTTCTATCCTCCAGTTGTTCTTTTCAAATAGATCTTATTTCATCGTTGTTGTGCATAAAAGATATTTTTCTTAACAGTCATGGTTTAAAGAACAATGAATGCGATGAATCTTTTGTTCTTTATATATATATATAAAGGCAAACAAACTACATTGTTCGTATATGCTAATCATCTGCTAGATGATCGTCATCAAACATGATTTAATTAGAATAATTTTACTCACTGTTGTGGAGAAAGGAGACTCGACAACAAAGAGTTAAGAGAATTTTTATTATTGGTAATGAAAAATATGGCAAGTAACAGTTGAAAATGAAAATTAATATATAAAATTTTTACTAAACTTTTGAATAGTAAATAATGAAATTGTTATAGAAGGCCGGAAGCATTTTCAGTTTTTATTGGTGCGTGCCATTTATTTTTTTTTATTTTTTTATTTTTCCTATGTCAGTTGCCCACTACAGTTGGCATTTCACATTTAATGATTTCAAAGTAACAATAATTAATTGTGTCAAGATTCATTCTACTTGCCAACTAAATAACTGTCAGTCATTTCTAATTGAACATAATAGTGTGTCTATAGTTTACAGAATATTTTACATTTTTTATACACACACACACACACACACGTGTCATAAATAGTAGAAGTATATTCAATCTCTTTAATTTTGTCAGAGTCGTGCCTAAGGTGTTAGAAGTAGAGATCATTTTACGTTTTTTTATGCATGATCTCATCAAAATTATATCTTAAATCTGTTTAAATTAAAATTCAAACTAATTTATCATATATAATTCTATATCATATTACACACCATTAGAATAACTATATTCCACCTGTCATCTCACTATTTTACAAATCTTTTTTTTTGTTTAACATTGAAACACATTTTATTAAATTTTTTCTTTTTTTTTTCTTCTAGGTGATAATTTTGATAACAGTGTATGTTCTGGAGATGGTACAGGCGGTGAAGATGATCCAGATGATAATAATAAAAAACGACAAAAAAAACGTGGTATATTTCCCAAAGTAGCCACAAATATTATGAGAGCATGGCTATTTCAGCATTTAACTGTAAGTATTATGTAACAAATTATACTCATAAGTTAATTATTAAACATTAAAAATTATTATATATATATTCTAACTCATTTGTAACGAGAGTTTATTTTCGAGCTATTGATTATGTATATAGAGTGATGTATGATGAAATAGCCAACTGTGTGTGTGTGTGTGTGTATATGTGCTGTCAGTCTGCCAAAAATTACATTAATCAAAATGAATACGATAGATTTACGATGAGATTTGCAATAGAAAGATACTGTAAACAACAGCTAATTTAACCTATAATAGTTCTTTTCTTTATTTTTTATTATATCGGTATACAAAAATTACTAATATGAAAAAAATAATACAAAATTTTCTAATATAAGAACATTTTGTATAACATTTTGCATGAATTTAAGCATACAATTTGTTCTGACTTTGTTCGAACCTTACATCAAAGAGATTCTTTGAAACAGCGAGATCATTAGATTTTAATATTGACTGGAAAAGGGATCAATCTAAAATAATTTGAAATGATTTACACTAGATAACGTCAGATTTGTCTCGTATGTTTTTTATCTATAAATTGTACTTTCTTGATTTAGCATCCATATCCATCGGAAGAACAGAAGAAACAGTTAGCACAAGATACAGGTTTAACTATTCTACAAGGTAAGATTATTTTAATCATTTTATTTTTCAACAAAAAGAAAAAACAACAACAATTTATTTTATTTTTTATTTTTACTTTTCTAGTGAACAATTGGTAAGTGTTTCGTTTTATAATTGCTAGATCAGATGTGTATAACTAATAATTCATTAATTTTAATTTATAAATCTATCCATCAAACTATCACCATTTTATTTTGTATTACAAATGTTAACTTTTAAAAATATTGTACAATCATTCATAATAGGATAGAATGAATCTTTTAATACAAATGTGTATGTGTATACGTCAATGTCTTTTTTTTTTCTTCTCTTTCTTGTTCTGCAATTTTACTGGTCACTACTTAGAAAAAAATAACGTCTTTTATTCGACCAATCCAATTCTTTTTTATTTTGTTAAGTACAATGGAAGTGTTAGAATCATGGCGGAAATCAACTGGATATTAATTTCTTCCTCTCTCTATTTTTTGTCAAATTGAAATAATAAGGTGCATGGAGAAGTTGCTTTAAAAAATGAAAATGTTAATGATGTCTGACGTGTGTGATGATCTGTTTTTTTTCTTTTTGAAATGAGTATGAGAATATGAATGAGATTATTATTTTAAATACATTTGAACAATTCGAATATCAATTATAATACAATGAAAAGTTTTTTGGACAATGTAATTTGTAAATTTAATCAAGTTGAAAGAGAAGCAGATATTTTTTAAACAAAGATACATATACGGCTGTTTATTCTCTCAATTTTCTCAATTTTTCTTTTTTTATCTGTCACTGACTCTGATCATATGTATACAATGAAGATATTGATGTATGTGAGTGTATATAATAACATGCTCAATTAGTAAAGTAAACATCATTCAGTGAATATAAGTATTGTACGATAATTCATCTAGCCTATCATTAGAATGAGAAATATAAAACAAATATAATCGTCTTTTGGATATACGAAGAAAGAAAGCAATAAATTAAAATAATGGCAAACAATTTGAAATGTAAATCAAACTATCATGAAATTTTCTAAAACAGAATTTCGTTTTTGTAAACAATAAAAAAAAAAATAACTAAAATTTTTATCCAATAAATAATTCTAACAAAAACAGTTAATGATTCAAAGTTATATCTACGTTTATAAGTCTTTTTTTTTTATAGTAGAAATCTACTAACGTAGATTTACATCATGTTCAGTTTTTATCATGGGATATTAGCAACTTGATTGCGGATATCATAAATGATCTTCTAGATTTAGCAACACGATTCTACATATTCTACATACGAATCTTTTAATTTTATATTACTCTAATATTCTTTTTTATGTTTTATATAGTGTTCTCCATTTTGAATAACTATCAGATCAATTTTCAGAGCGCTATTTCAATTAGATGTTTTGAGTTTATTTAAGTTTTGTGTCCCATCAAGTCTTTCGGTGTAATGAACATTAAAAGTTTTACTGAATGACTAATTCGTTTACATATTAAAAAAACCATTTTCATTTTTTTTTTCTTATTTTCAAAAAAAAAGTATAGATATATACCGTTTCGATTTCACCCCAATATCGTTGTATCGTATCTAAATCGCCCAAAGAAATAGAGGCGTTATCGCGTTACTTATATCGTTTCACATAATTACAAACTAAAATTTTCTTCGTTTTTTTTCTTTTTCAAATATTAGTCAAATGTTTTTTTAATTGGCTTCAATTTATCTTTCAATGTACCTGTCATAGGTATCGAATGTTCAAAAAAAAAGAATTATGTGAACAGCGAGAAATGACATATTTCGTGATAAAAACTGATTATTGTAGTGAATACGTTCTTTTTAATTATATATACGACAATTTTAGGTTTTTCTTTTTGCGCATTACATGCACATAGTCAATTGATGATGGCATCATTTGTGATAAATAAAGTTTTTGACCATTTGACAGCTGACGAGAAAGATGCTATCATTTTTATTTTTATAGTGATATTATTTACACGCATACAAATTTAAGTTTATGATTGAAGTTGGGTACAAATGTCAAAAACAGAAGACAAAATGTGTGATAGATAGGCGGCATAAGATTAAAGTGAACAAAAAACAATGATAAACGTCATGAAATGACCGATAAATAATTAACGGTTTTTTTTAATAGTAAACGAGTTTTTTGGTAGACTAAAAACATTTTTTTGCTATAGAACATAATAGTTGGACATGTTTTAGTAAATTACCTAACATTTGGGTTTGTTTTCATCACGTATTCTACACACATCTGCCCGGATATACATTTCTTCTTCTTCTTCTTCTTCTTCTTCTTCTGTTTTCGACTATCATTAAAAACTCATTAGATTCTTACGTCTTCTGGTTTACTTCTTATTCTTATTCTCATTCTCATTCATATATCTAAACTGGCCTTGACGAAATACATATACACACACACACACAAATCCAAAGTGATCGTTAAGTCTTATCTATCAATAAATGATTTTCGTCAAGATGGACATCATTCATCATTTTTTCTCATAAACATGCATGACAGGTTTCAATGTATACCGCCCAAACAAATTTTCTTGTTTATTCGTATTTTTTTTTTCTGTGTGTAGTGATATGTATCCCCAATAGTATTTGAAGATTATACATAACCTGGAAATTAATATTAAGCAAAAGAACCCGTTTTATACTGGAAGAAATACTACGACTTGTATAACAATGAATATCGCAATCGTATGCGTTATAAAAAGAAAAGAAGATAGTTTTGTTAAATAAAACTTGTTTTAGAAATAAAATGCATTATCGAAAGAAAGTTAACTCCTACATAAGCATATCTAAGATGTTGAAGAACGTTGTTTGAAGAAACTGTTATTTCCTCATGACTATGCGATAGAATTAGTACTAATTTTCAAGAAAATAACTAGTTTTCTCTATTATAATTCACAGTATGATCAAAAATATAAAACATTCTTTCTTCAATGTTCGTAACTAGCCTCAATTGACTATCCATTGTACGTTAGTAATATAAAGGAAAAAGTACAAAGAGCATCATCCAATTACAGTTAATCTAAACAGAACATACATTGACTTTTCACACTAAAAAATAATAGTATTTATAACACAAATGTAGCTCACATTCTCAAAAGAAAGCCGATAGTCTGCATAGTTTGTCTAATTAAGTGGTGTTTATTATTAAAGGCAATGCCAATGCACCGATTTTAATAATAATAAAATAAACTAACTAACTTGAAAGAGTATCTATTTTAATAAATGTAATATTATTTTTCTCTTAGGTTTATCAATGCCAGAAGACGTATTGTTCAGCCAATGATAGATCAATCAAATCGAGCTGGTAAGTTGGTTGAACGTTCAGCAGAATCACAAGAAAAAAATAATAATAATGATAATACACCCAAAACTCATCATCGTCGTGAATATAATATAAATAATATTAGTAAAGCAACTATAAATAAAATCAAACGTTATCATCATACTTTCAAATACAATAATGTCAAAATGTTTAATGGAGGCAAGATAAAATGTTTGCTGGTTTTATATTGCATAATAACGCTTAAGGGCAGCGGCAACAACAACAACAGCATATTCTAATGCTATAGCATTTTATCTGCATATCAAACAAAACCACCAAAAATACTCGCTAAGATGTTTCTTTTTTGATATTTTAGCAAATTCTCAGAAAGGTACGTATCTGATCTCAAATGGTCTAGGAAAGGAAACATTCAAAGGATAAAAGTTGCTTGTCCAACAGTAATGCATCGTTGCTTTGCATGATTTATGTATATGACTGACGAAAAAAAAAAAGCGCATCAATACAAATTCCCAATGGGATTGGATAATGTTAGTTCGTGAAAAACAGAAAAATTAACTTGAACATATAGACAGTGGTCAAATGTGTCTATACTCCCACATGATTTCTAATGTGTTTGTCGTCACATTATGTATGTGCAGTTACAATTTTTCATCTGTTTTTTCTTAATCACCATGTCTAGTTCGATTAACAAATGATAGTAATTTAAATCTATAAATCATTTTTGCTTCTTTTTTGTTAATTTCTTAATGACAAGACATTACTACTATTAACGATCGAGCAACTTGATTCAATTAACCAAACTTTTTCGTTTGAAATCTATTGTTTACTAGGAATCAAACAGCTGACTTTCTCTCTTCATTTACAGATCAAATGAGAAAAATCTCGCTAATCCTTACACACTCCAGCATTGTAAGTTAAGAATAACTAAAAATATTTAAATAGCAACCTCAATTTCGAAAATGACAATTGCCATTACATGCCTCTTTCTACTCCGCCTATTTGTGTTCTATCCGTTTCATGTCAACAAAAATTATATACATGAATGAATGTTAGAAAGAAAGAAAGATTCTATAAAGAAAATGGTGGTCAAAGAAACATGACATGTCAAATTCATTTTTTTAATTTCTAAAAAAATGATTACCAATATGCGGATATATTTCTTAAAATAGCGCTATGTATATGACGTATTACAATAGATGGCGCGATTGAGCCCAAATACAATGAATATCTTTTCTATCGTTTGAATATGTTCAAGAAAAAAAACTGCATTATTTAATCAATAAATTATATTCATTTTAAAATTCTTCTTTTCTAGCATCAATACCAGAATTCAGTGATTATCTTGGACCATATAGTCCAGATGCAATTCACTACGGATTTGATCGACAGTTTGCAGCCTATCCACCTGGTAACTTATATTCTATTTTGATATTATATGTCTCTTACAATTATTTTTATCATTTAATATTTTAGATTTTTATAATGCAGCTACTTTGGCGGCAGCCTCAAATCCTTACACACAAATGTCACCATTTCGAAATCCTGTACATTCAAATATGTTATTAAGTGGACATTCGCATCCAATGATGATGAAACAAATGGCTCATTCAACACCGTATAATTCATATCCACCATCGTCAACCCCACCATTGATGGATTCACTTACAACTTCACAACAAGACAACCGTACTGTATGAAGAAATGTATCCGATCAAGGAGCATAACTTACGGCCGTCCTACTACATTTTTAGTCTTAAATTTCAATAAACCAAACAAACCTTTCTCTTTGGATGATACAATGATAGCTATATTTACTGTTTATTACGTTTAATACTTGCAAAATTTTCTATAACCGGTGTTCAAGTTTTTTTTCTCGTCTCTTGTTTGGACAGCTACAATATAATATTATTAGCAAGTGCAAAAATCATTGCATCTACTTACACGTTATTTTGAAAAAAGACATTCCTATAGGTCCTTCTTTGACTTCGACAGCATCCCACATTCTATGGTGGAGGATAAACTAAAGTCATTACGCACCGGTTGATTATCCCGAGAAAAACTGATCAAATCCTCCTACTATGATGATTTTTTAAATTCTTGTCTGTATTTGTCTCTGAGTCAATATAACACCTATTTCTGTATATGTTCATCAATCATTTTCTTTTTAAACATTAAAATTTCTCTTATGTGTCTTTGTCGATTTTTAATTTTTTTTTTTTTTTTATTTTTTCGTTGTTTTTTTGGTCCATGACACTTTTTTCCTATTCTCTATACATATACATATTTGCTCATAATGTTGGGGATGTCAAACTCAGTGAAATGAATAAAAACAGAAAAAATAAATAGAAAGTTTGAGCAAAAAATAAGTTAGTTATCTTTAATTAATCATACTATAAAAGGTAAATATAATACATAAAAATCTTTACTTATACTCAAGTTACTTATTGTAACAAGTTATCTCCAAAACAAATTTTTATGAATTTGTGTGAAAAAATAGTGTTTAACTTTGAAAGATATATAAGTCGAAAACTTTTAAACGATTACTTATGTGTTAAACAGTCATTACGGTACTCTCAAAAAGAATCATTGGCTACAATTTATATTAACGATAAAATCTTTTAGGCATTTTCAATACATTTTCCTAAAAAAATTTATTCAGAATGTAATAATAATAAATAAAATTAAGCTTATCCACAAAAACAAACAAATACACCAGAGCAAAAAATCTCGTGGCCAGCACGGAAGAAAAACTGCATAGAAATAAGAGGAGAGAAAACAGAGATGTATTTAGTGCCAACGGAAATAGAAGGAGAAAACCCACCAACATATGCAAAATATTAGTTATTTAAACATACAACATCCAAAAACCCATGTTTTTTTTTTTGCTAATCAGAATAATATTCTAAAAAATAAAGAACTACGATAAACACAAACAGAAAAACGTCAAAAAAAAATCCCCGGAATTCAATGGACATGTATGCAATGATAGTTAGAGTACAGTCAATTGTGTTAGATAAATATAGAGAATATCTCTGCCGATCACATGTGAGAAAATAGTGAAATTTTACGAGAAAATAATAAATAAAGAACGAGGCAATGTCCATATAAATATATACATAAATAGATATCACAGTTGAATAGACAAAAAATATTTCGATTTTTTCTTTTTTTCTGCAGTGATCAATTGTTATTATTCCAATTGTATTGAAATGAAATCACAATGAGCATTTCCTAGTGGTGTACTAGCTCTACTTGAAGCGGTTGAACTTGGCATCGATGTCATACCACCTTCTAAACGACTACCCACAAAATTCAACAAATAATGTTCACGTTCTTCTCCAGTTAGAGGACATTCTCTTGCAACAGTACGATGTAATAGAACATACAATGCTGTACAGGCAACTGATTCATATGGAGAATTGATTTCAAGACTTGTCATCGATGTTAACATAGATGAAGCTTTTTTGTTTGTCTGTGAACATTTATTCATTGATAATTCACGAACAAGTGGTGCAATAACATTATTCCATTTAGATTGTAGCCAACTATAAATATATACTCATTGTTAGACATTAAACAACAAGATCAATGTACTTACTCAAAAATACTTTCACGATCCATTGGACAATCATAAAAAATACCCGGACCCAATAAAGCATCTTGTAGACTCAATTTTTGTAAACATTCATTGTATCGTTGCCATACATTTGTTGTATATTGTAATGTTTTGACAAGATCATTATCAATGGGAAGTTTATTACGTGTATTATAATCAATCATTCGTCGCCAAAGATATCGTTTCAATATTCCATTCCATGGTACTGTATCAATTTTAAATGGAATCCATTTGAATTGTTTTAATATATCATTTTCATTCGACCATGTACGTTTACTCAATGTTACAAATACATGAAATGTTGATGGATAATAGTAAACCATTGATGAAGAATCTAAATATAAAGAAAAATAAGTAAATTATATTTTTATCATTTTATATTATGTATTACTTGAATATTCACTCGTATAATCTAACATCTGACAACCATCTGATACTGTTTTTCCATTTAATAATAACTTTAATAATTCGATACCAATACCATTTTGAATATTATAGAAATACAACAAATGTTTAACTTTTGATGATTTTGTAGATGTTGTCCACTTTTGTGTTTGAAAAAAATCTATGAAAAAAATAAAATAAAAAAAATAGATTAAATGAGAAATTTGAAATGAAATGATGATGAGTAAATAACTTTTATACAGTCTCTTATATGATTTTTCTTGGTAAAGGTTAAAGTTCAAAGATGAACAAGTATCAGTCCTACTCGAGTACAAAATTTGTAATGCTCATACACGAAAATATTTTTTAAAGATAAATAAAAGAGTTAATCAAAAATAAGAGAATTTTTTCTTTTCCATCTTTTCTTTATCAAATATGTTTATATAATGTGGACTTAGATAGTGATGTTTTCAAATATGACTATAAAATATTTAACATAATCAGTCACCTCAGTTCCTATCGAGCATACATTTTCTTAGAGTGATTTCATCATGAAACCGCATCCACCGAAACTCTCATCGTCAACATTGTGTTTGTTGACATTTCTAAAATGTAATAGAAAACTTGTTATGATATTTTTGTTTTTTAGAATTACTCATGTTACTATTTCTTTTTTTCTGTTAATTATAAAAGATATTGATACTATGGAAGTAAAACTTTCTAAATGTTTATCATGGAAAAGAAGTCGCCAAAATGCAAAAAAAAATAATTATTTTTCCTATCTTCTTAGAAATGTTGTACTTGTACTCGAGTATACTAGAGTTCAATTTTTTGGAATACTCATACTCGTACTTGAAAAATTGTGTATTCGATCATCTCTAGTTAAATTACATACCTGCATCAATCAAATCCTCTATACAATCATCAATCGATGAAACACTTTCAAAACCAAATCTGATCACTTTAAATTTTGGTGTTGATGATGGTAAAGGAGAATGTTCAAATTGTCGAATTAAACCTTCAAATAATGTATGTTTGTTTGTGTGAGGTGCGCCATAAACACCAACATATGTATTTTGTTCAATCTGAACAAAGTGAATAAAAAGTCTTCATTATTCATAAACTAGTTATTTAGAAGAAAAGAAAAAAAAGCAAATTATTTTACTTACATAACGTAAAAAATTTTTTAAATTTTGACTTGGAATAAAATAATTGTATGCCAATGCATCTGTCGAATTACTTTCAATACCTATTTAAAAAAAAAAATCTAGTACCATCTAATATCAATTTAATATTTTAATTTTAAATTTACCTTTTAAACAAATATTTACTGTTTGTAATGATTGTTCATGAACAATCACGTACGGTAGATTAAGATCATCTGGACTATCTTGATACAGCCATTTATATTGGCCTAAAATCAAATTTTATTTAATTATTTTTAATAAATATTATTTTGTATTACTTACTTACCTAAACACAATACATCGATACTCTTTGTTGTAATACCAATTGTACATTTTGTATAATCAAATGGTGAATCGACTTGTGCAAGATGTTCGTTGTAAACTTTGATTATGGTCTTTTCAAATTCAAGCCATGACATATCATAGGTTAATTGAATCACACCGATGCCGTATGAAAATGAACGTTCACGACTAGCGGATAGTGATGTTGCTGATAACGATGAAGATAAATAAACAGCTAATTCAATTGGTTTTGTATTAACTAAAAATAAAATGAAAAAGATTTCAATGATAGTCAATCAAAGAAATGAAAAATAATAAAGAAGAATCTTTCATCACAATAAAAATATTATATTCTATATTCTATGAGTACACAATAATTCTGGATTGAACAACAAAAGAAAAGTAACCCACTTGGATTGTTATTGATGTTTAGTGATGACAGTAGTGAAAGACATTCGTTTGTAATGAAACAAGTGGCATCGACAAAATGTACAAAATCTTTAACACTAACGATTGTGAACAGAGATTCTAGAAAATGCTAAAAAAAATAAATTTGGGTAAAACTTCTTAAAATAATATTATTAAAAAATAAATTGAACATACTGTATTTGATGATCTTAATGTAGTACGAAGTACTTTACACAAGATGGCTTCATCGTTCAAGATAGTTTCAGCAGATAAAGAAAAAAGATAATCAAATGTTTGTTGATGATTATTAACAATACAATCGTTTAATAAATCGGTAGGTGGCTGAAAAAAAAACATATAATTTTTATTTTACTATTGAATTAAAGTAATATCCAACCTACAGGATATTTTCCATCTTCAACTAGTGTTTTTAAACATTCTAATTCATTTGTTTCATCTAATTTTGTTAAATTTTTAAAAGGAGTCTGACCCAAAACATTTTCTATAAACGGATCAGCACCGTGAAATATCAGATGCCGAATACAACTTAACATGTACAATAATGTCATTTAAAAAATGAAAAAAAATTCTTTATTTTAAACTTACTCATTATGTCCAAATAAACAGGCCAAATGTAGAGCTAATGATGAGAAAAAATATAACACTTAAAATTGTTTAGAAGATAAAATCATAACTTTTACCTGTAGTACCATCAGGAGAAGAATTTTTTGGATTTAAACCCAAATTGAGAAGTTTAATTAACTGATCTACGATAATATTACTTTTTTATGATTACGTTAAACAGAGAAGAGAAAATCAATACTAACCTGCTTCACCCATTTGTGCTGCTCGTAAAAGGACAGTAAGTTGATTAATTGGAAATGAAGAAACATTTTCCTCTTGCTCGTTAGTCGACTCTTCACTGGTGTTTGTTGTTGTTTTATATGGATATTCTCTTGTTATATGTGAATCGGCAGGATATATTTCGGTGTTTAAACGATTTTCAACAGCTAGAAGTACGATAAAATAAAAATTAGTATTACCACTAATGAAGAATTACTAGAAAGAAACAGAGAAAGCATGCACAAAGCAACTCGAAATGCGTATGAGCATCTCCTTAGGTTGGAAGAAAACACACGAAAACTAACACTTTTAACAATCATTCCCTAAACCATAAAGATGTAAGAAAGTTTGCAGACTGTACACTCTATTCTCTACTATAGCCTTAAATACAAATCCGTTAGTAAACACATAATGATGTATTAGTAATTAAAAATAAACATGTGTTAGTAAAGCAGATAAACATTTTGTTGAGCTTTCATACATTCAAAAAAAACAAGCATATAAAAGATTAATCAAAGAGAAACAAAAAATAGGATAGCAGTAGATATAAGAATTTCAGAGGCAAAAGTTGAAGATATGCTATATTTTTCTCTTTGTAAAGAAACATAATGAGATAGTTGTGTGTAAATAAAAAGATAATTTAATAGCCAAGCATGGCAAACAATAATGAATTGCAGCATCAATACAAACAATAAGTTGTTTTATTTCAAAAAGAAATAATTTTATTTATTTTAGAGAGCATGAGTGCATGTGCTTGATTACATAAAACAACAACAATAAGTTTTCGCTGTTGTGCGATTAAAAAAATCATCTGTGAGTTTATGTAGATATAATATCTATATAGTTTACCTGAATGTATAACATTTAATAAATTTTGAAGATCGTCAATAACGCCTGACGATGATCTCAGATCATGATTGTTTGAAAGCTATATACAAGAAGAAGAAGAGTAGAGGAAAGAAGAATTATCTTCTTACTCCTGGTGGAAAAGAGCGGTTATGGTAAAGGTAAAACCGCTTTTCAGAGATATGATCCATCTATTTCTTTCTTTCTATTTCATCTAATTCTTTGTGGAAGCCATGCGTGCAAAGACTACAACTCCATCCTAATTCATCTTTATGAACCAACACCAATTTTTAACTAAATAATTAAGAAAACATAGCATAATGAACATACTTGCATGCGCTTCGTCACTGAAGCAGCTGTTGAATCATGTTCTTGATGTACTGACATTTTTGTTGGTTTATTTATATTGGATGCTGATACTAAAGAATTTTTTGTTAACTTTGGAATACTGCGCGATGATGGGCTACTAATCGTTGTTGGTGTTATCGAAGAATTTTGAACATTGTGTGATGTTGAGGGTGAACGAAGATTAGACATCATCAATGGTGCTGATTCAGTACTATTAACGTTTCGACTCTGAATAGCCGGTATAACACTTCGTTTGATAATAGCTGTTGTAGTTGTGGGTGCTATTTCGATTATTGATGATGGTGAACTTGTGGTTGAAACGGAAACACTTGGTATGGACGGGGAAGATGGTGTTTGTAAACGTGGTGAAGAAATTTTTGTCGTTACACTAGTAACTTGCATTGTTCTGGGTGATGGAATAATTGCTGGACGACGAATGTTACTATTAGTGGGTAATGGTGATTTGGTGTCGGATGTGGTTGAAATTGTGGTCGAAGAAGTAATGGTAACATTTGGATGTTCACTCATGATATGAGATACATTCGTGGGTGGCGCTGATTCTAAACGTTTAACCCCTTGATGTGAATGAGATTTTAAATCTTTTACATGAATAGTCTGCTTTGTATCCGCTTCGTTCATGTCTTGTTCCATCACGTTAGCATCTGAAAACATATCAAGAACTACACAAGAAACTGATATCAAATATGCAATATACAGGCTATCTATCTTGTATGTCATCATAATGCTACACGAGCTTTAAATAATATATAGTTTTTTCTTTTCTTTATGGGAGAATTTAGAAGTAAATTCAATACTACTAGCATTGAACCTTGTTGGCATGAAAAAAGCTACTGACAACCAGTCATCTCTCGTAACTCGATATAGGTTTATCACGGTTACGTACGCTGATGGACAACGGGCAATGGTTGTGTTAATTGTTGTTGTTGATATTTTTCATTCACTAGCTCAAGTTCCATTTGTAATTGCTTGATTTTTGTATTCAATTTATCTTTACACTGTTCATATTCATCTTCTAATTGTTTGTATTTTCGTTCATATTGTTGCTGAACATCTTTGTCTTGTGTCGAATCACCTAAAATTTTATCTATTTGTTGTTTATATTTTTCTTTTTCACTTTTTAAATGAGAAAAAAGTTGTTTTCGTTCGTTAATTAATATGACAACAAATTGTTTATGACGTTGTTGTTCTTGTTCAAGTAGATGTAGCAACTGTACCAGCTGTTGTTCTAATTCTTTATTGTGAAAATGTACATTATCTAACTAAAATGGTAAAATAATAAAAATACTATGGTTGAAAGTACTTAAGAATGTGACATACATCATTTTTTAACTGGAGTTTTTCTTTCTGAGACTCTAGTAGTTGATTTTGAAGTGTTTGAACGCGAGTTTTATGATGTTTTTCACTTTCAAGTTCTTCCATAAGCTAAAATAAAAAAAATCAATCATTATTCAGGATAAAGATCTATTCACAATGTACTGACTGTTATCAATTTTTTATCTGATTCATTTAAAACATTTTTTAATAACTGCACTTGTTTTTTTTGTTGTACAATTAAATGTTCCAGCTGTGATAATTGACTCTCATAAACAGTTTTCATTGGAATTTGTTCACCAAGTAAATCTTCTTTGATTGTTTCACTATCGCGTAATAGAGCTGAATATGGATCCGAATTACAATTCAAACGACCAAATCGTGCATTATATAATAATGTTTTCACTTTTTCAGACTAAACAGAGGAAAAAAATCAGTTTATTTTTCGTTATAAAACAAAAACAATTAGATACCTTCATCGTTGCCAATGCAATTTCCTTCGCTTGAAGCTCAGCTTCAAATCGTCCCAGTAAACGAACCAATTCATCTTTTTTCAATTCGAATTTCGGATTACGCTATAAAACGAAAAATAGAAATAATTATAAGCTAAAAACTTCCCTCAGATCTTTGTGTTAGATGTGGGACTACATGCTGAATATTCAATCTGTTCTTTAGTGACTGTTGAGTTTCTGCAGAATAAACAATGGAAACAATATTAAAAGGTTTCCTGCGTGATGTATTTCACTTCTTCTTCCCATTCTTACTTAGTTACAAACGTCCTCATACACGATCGAGGAAGGTCAAAATCAGTCAGTCCTAACATTTTCATCCATCTAGACAGTACAGATGATAATCAAAATTATACCTTGAGTGTATTTGCTGTACTTTGTCGGCTGTTAGTATTGTTGTTATTAGTGATTGTGTTGATTGTGGAGGTTCCTGCTGGCGTTAACGACGATGTTTTTCTTCCTTTCTGATAAGCGCTCATTTTGAGGTAAACAAACAACAAATTATAATACTCAAACACTCAACAATGTGAAGACAGAATCATCTAGAAAAGAATAAATAATTCCACAAAATAGAAATAACGTCCAAAGATAGATAAGAGCAATGTGACAAATTATGCCTGCGCAAATTAACAATGCTTAGTACAAGACTTTATTATCAAAAATTAAATAAAAAAACGAATTAACAGAACATAGCAATTACATAAATAATGGAAAACAGACAATTGTATACACATTAATTTGAACACAAAAACAAATATTACTATTTAGCGTCAAGTTTACTTTCTCTTTCAATAACAGATTTATTAAATGTAATAACATATGCTGTGCCTCTTGGTCCTTGATGTGCTGCAACTTTCGATAACTAAAAGGAAGTGAATAAAATGTCAGAAGAAGCAATAATACTTTCTCTTCTCGGAAGGAATCTTGAAAATTTCTAATTTATTTTACTGCTCTCAGCTGTTAGGATATCATAGATAAACTGAAGAATTCTCAATAAACTATTTATATGGAACCATCGTCTCAAAGTTGAAGCTCACTACGACATATAAGGGCATATCACTTTACTAGACAAACAATAACAGATTATATTTCAACTTACAAAGCCACTTGAGCACAAAATTCCTTCTACAATACCAGCGACAAATGCTGCGCATGTCAGACTACCTAAAATTAAAATAGTAAATGATTATTTATCGTAAAATTTTTTCAAATGTAGTATCAAATTTTACCTTTGTCTTTTGGTATCGAAATGAATTTATTGACTAAACATTCTTTTTCAATAATATAATCTAAATAAAAGAGTAAGAAATATAATTCAAAAAAAACAAGCAGGTGATAAACATTTCCTACATGTATTAATATCTTGTGCATGTTGTTCTAGATTTTCAGCTTCACGATTGAAAAGAAACTAAACAATAGCGTGGTTATCACTAACTCTTGACCAAAAAAATTAGACTTTACCACCTACCTTCCATATATTCTTTTTAATAAATACTAACATTTCTGTTAAACGTATTTCTCGTTTATCTTTTCGTTCACGAAGAAAAAATAAATCGAGTACACGAATTCCAACATGTTTTCCAAAGTCGGATAACCTAAAAAATCATAACATTGTATTATAAAATAACAACACAGTATCTTTGAAGTTCTTGTCTATTTACTTGTTTTGAAGATCGTTGATGCTATCAACACGATTTTGAGAATACTGAACCATTTCGGAAAATAGAAGAGCAAATGTACTCAAATTGATCTAAACAAACAGAAAGAAATGAAATAACAGAAAGACTCTCTACAATTACTTTCTTACATCTCCTTTTGGTTTTTGAGTCAAAGGACGATCAAGTGGTGAGGATTTTGGACGTGTTGAAGATTGCATATTTTGATCTAACTTTACCAGAGAACGGATGTCGTACTACTTTTTCTTCTCTGATATATTGAAATCAATCAACTGAAATTATTGTACAGAATTCTCGTATTTTCGTAAATTTCTCTTCAAAAAATCAAAATTACTTTACATAAGATAAGAGTTTTGTTGCATTTTTATCGTACTAGAGTGCAGTTTTTTAAACTGTACTACCGATTCACTTATGCTGCAAGACGCCATTCAAAAAGGATATAATAATTCTCAACTATCTCTTTCAGACAAAGTATCGCAAGTCCAGTCAGAGATAGAGAAATGCAGATATGTCAAATATAGAAGCAAGTAAAAAGCAATGGAAGGTTTATAAACAGATAAATTCATTTTATATGAGCGTAACAACTCCTAATTAACAAAACACTTTTTAGTCAAAATCCTATAGTGATTTTGAGTTTTTTCTGATAATGAGAAAAAAATGTCATGTATCTAAATGGACCTATCGTAATTAGAAACATTCCAAAACTTGAAAAAATCAAACCTCTTCTTTTTAGCACTGCAATTAATTCAACTGAATTTGTTTTCAAAAAAATTTGCAGGATTAAACAGAAACAGTCTTGGTATTCTGTCCCTGAATGTAAAATTCTCTCTTATCTCCTGAAAAATAGTTGAGCAAATAGAGATTTTCGAAAAACAAAAGATTTTGTCATAATTAGGAACATTTACTCTACTCAACGGCACTGATACTATTTACAAGCGAATGCAGAAAAACGTGACCAATTTGCGATAATGATAATCCAATTTAGTCTAAAGAATACATCAGCTCTGACTTTCTATTGGCTCTTGAAAACCGAATTAGAAACAAGTTTTTGATCTCTTTCTTTTAATACTCAATGTATCGTAGGGGCCATTACCATCGCTTAAAATTTTGTAACAAGTAAAATACAGTCAATAAAATAAGCAAAATAGAAATGAGTATAACATCTAGTTGCTATCAGAAAACCTACCTGCGCTTATTTTAAAATATTTTTCTAATCAGCCAAACGAAATAGTATCCTTCAAACGCCTGAGTATCAAAAGGATTTGTTTTTGGCCTGGCCGTTACGGTAATAGGTTTCTCATCTAACATGCCTATTCACCACTAGCAGGAATTTTGAAAATGGTTAGCCACTAATTATAAAAATATGCAAAACGATAAAATGGCTACCAAAAATAGATTTTGAAAGCTAAAACGCGAGTGAAGTTGTTTTACTTCATAGAACGGTAGACATTAGGAGAAATACGATGCTTTTAACCTAGAAATGATCCTTTTGTAGTGGCTTCTATGACTTACGATTAGTTGTGTATGCTATATCTTATATTTTATGGATCAGATCGTTGATGAGTTTTTTAACTGACACAGACCAATCCATTTGATCAGTCACAGGTATGTCTGATTTGCTTTTCATTTTTCGTGAATAAATTAGTCTTCTTCTTCTAAATCTACACCAGTCTCCATACAAGGATAATAAAACAGGTAAAGCAATCAAAGTCATTGATCTTTTTTACGTATGGTTAGTTATATTATTGAGAAGCGATAAACATTTGTAACACAAGGAGAAAAAGAATCTTCATGATCTGCAGCCATGTCATGCATGCCTGTATAAAGTGTGTATATATAACACGTGCATAAACAAAAATTGGTGTGGGCGTAATAAAAACGGAAGAAATTTTTAGGCATTAATATTGATGATTTTTAATAGACTAATTCTGGCATGCGAGAAGAAATATTACGGTAGGACGCCGCTGTAGTTCTGCAGGAAATATAGAGGCGGTGTTTTTAACAGAATTTTTCTCACGATGGATTTTTTCACTGTGGAATAATGGGCACAATGGGAAATTTTGTATCATCGTAGTTTCTAGTGTATTTTTGGTCGTGCGTTGCAATTAGATAAAAAGTGAAAATTTTGAAGTCATAGTAAAAATTACCAACTTTTCGTGGTAGATGACGCGGCCAGCCCGCTTTTCTGAGCAAAACCTCACGCACTTCGGAGCAAAGCTCTAAGTACGAAAGTTATTCAGAATCAAAATCCGAAGTCCCCCAGGAGAACTTTTTTCAAAACTTTTGTTTGTCAGTTGATCTGTTTTGCGTTTATTCTATGCGCTGGAGCATGATGAATTTATTATTAATATTTCTAGCTTAAAAAATAGTCTAATTTCACTGAAATCACGCTTGGTAGCTGTCTGCCAGTGTAACCATTAGTGCTCATGGCAATGTTATGAGGCACGAGAATGAATTTTGCTATAAGAGGCAAAAAATTTCAAACAAAAAACGGTTTCATCATTTTTATGATTACTTGACAATATAGACTAGGTAATATCAGTAAAAGGAAATCGAATAAAATTATCCGTCTCAGAAGTTCATAAAAATCACCGGGAGATTCCTCATTTTATTTTCCTCAAACGTTCCCAATTTGTGGAGGATACTTCGAAGTATCCTAAAGTTCTCTTAGGTTACTGGAATTATTAGACTGAGACGAAAATTAATTACTTAAAAAAATGTTGTAAAATTTCTGTGCATCGGACTGTTATTGAAAAATCTCCTGTCCGTTCTCTATTCATCATAAAACCTGGTTCTTACGTAGATCGATAGAGAAATGAGAATATTTACGACGAGAAAGTCTACAAAATTTTTTGTTATTGGCTAACTAACGTTAATTTAGCCTACTTCACTAGCTTAAAGGGTGGGCCAGAATTACTGAAACGATTTATCAATTCGTTTCAGTAATTTTGGTCCACTCTTTATAGTCCCATTTTTCAAAACGATGATTTGGTTTTTTGAACTTGATATTTTTCACGAAAATTTAAGGAAAATAAGTTCTTTTGAAAAAAGCGAAATGTTTCAATGAAAACAAATTATATTTTCAAAGTAACCTATTTTCCTTAAATTTTCGTCCAGAATCCATGAAAAAGCAACACTTTTGAAAACAATGTCTGAACGGCTGCTCATATCAATTAGATCAGTCATTACTCCTAAAGAAATAATTGGTTTACATACAATAGGTGTTTTCGCTAGTTTACGGGTTTGACAATCCACACATTGTTTTTAAAAAATTTCTACAGAACACGCAGAGCCCATTCGTAGTTCGATGAAATCTCGCTTGATATCTTGTCTCGACCTCCATATGAAATTCTTTTATCACACTCACCAGTTACTTGATAAAATCATAAACAGCAATTGGCTTAAGACTTTTTTTATCATAAATAATATCATTACCAGCCATTTCAAAATAAAAGTTCAAAATAAAGTTATTCTTGGACCAAAAAATGAATTTCGATGAGAAGTGTCTCATTTTTACCGTTATCCATTTTCAAACCAAGTATATATCATCATATGTAAGTTTTCGTATCATAACTTTTTAAAACAAATCAACTAAAGGCAAAATGACGGCAACATAACACAGCACAACGTGAAATGAACATGTACAGCACTTAATAATACATTTTTCATAGATTCTCCAGCGCGATAGGAAAAAATGAATCAGAGCTAAAATTTCCCTGATTAGAGAGTGAACTTACTTAGCTTTATTCGAAATTTCACATTTGCATAAACAGACTTCGAATTGTATTCGTGTATATGTATCTTAGTTTCGCCTGGACAAATCTAGAAATTGGTTAAATCCCGGTCTACTACAACATGTATATTTGACTGTATGTAAGAAGAAAAAGATGATGTAAGTACAATGTTTATGTATAAATAAGAATGATATGGAATCTAGACAAAAAGACACATGGCCGACATGTTCTCTTCAAACACCACCCTTCTCATGAAATAGATTACGTTCTGTAGTTTTAAACTGCATTTCTGAAAATTGGATTTTACAGGTTTTCTAAAACTCCTTCAATATGCTCGTTTAGCCTTTTCCAGATTCTTTCAGAATCCTATCTTATCTCGTTTGTTCAATATTTCAAGCTATACTCGATGCTTTTTTACAAAATTTCATTACTAATCTATGTACGTCGAGATATCTGAATATGAAATCAACTTGAATTTCAAAATTCTAATACTTTAAAAATTGGTATTGAATGGTTCTTTAAGACTTCTTTTTCCAACTGATCCTTGAAGAGTGCCGAAGTCGAATATATTCTGTAAAAGATTTCAACTCTTAGGCGTTCTTCAGAAACAATATTTTCATGAACAGCAAGTGGAAAAATTCTCTAGTTTGCTAAAGTGCCCGTAACGCGAAAATCGAGCAGAATTTGTTTTCGGATACTTATAGATGGTAGATGGTTGGATAGAGCATGTCGGTCTGAGTAAGAAAGGTGGTTTTTGAGTTTTAAAAATTTTTTTAAGGAAGAAAAATTAAAAAAGTTCGAAGGGTCTAATCCAAGGGAAACTTCGAAAAACCCTTCGGTTTCAAAAACATTCAAATTTGATTTTTCGTTCTTGTAACTTATTGAAAGTATTTTTTCAGATTCACCATTAAAAACTAAGTATGAGGATGCTTGATCGATGTTGAAGTCAAAGGTCTATCCAGTATAATGGTCTTGGAAAATATTATATTCGGAGTCAACGTGAAAAATCGACTCGATCGATGCACTTTATCAAAAACATTTGTATCAGCGTTGAGTTTTAAATTTCTTTCTTTCTAGCTGTTGTGGGTTCATTGGTTGACGATTGCTCCATATTGAATAACTGTCACTTCGCAATATACAGAAGATAATAATAAAAAATCAATTGAAGTAATTAAAATATGAAATCAATAGTTGTACAACTAAAGCTTATCATAAACACAACAATGGTCGTTTACCAGAGAAAAGTGTTATTTCCATTGTCTATGTTACGTTTCTTCTCAGATAGTCAGGTACAATGGTTTGCCATTCTTGACTATCTGTGATGTCTATTTGAACTGGCTAATAGATATAGATTAAACTAAAAGTGTTGTCTTTCTTAATAGTGTGAACGGTAGTCAATTTTCAGAGATAATATCTAAAGAAATTGCACAAAAAAACGACGCGCTTAGAGGTAACTATTGTGTGTTTATGCTTTATATATAATTCCCGAAAGTGCCTTTTTTACTGTGATAGATCCGGCGTTCATACATGAAGTTTGGCTGGTTAAATCCAGAATAACTAAACTGAACCATGCAATGGTCACACGATTGAGAGAGAAATGGAGAAACTTGTAGATCGACACCAGAACAAATGTTATTAGTAAAAATTAAACTTAAGCAAGAATTAGATTTAGGTTTTGTGAGTTAAGATACTGGATTGGCCAATCCTTCATTCGTGGTAAACTAAAATAATTGCTTTTCATCAATGGCTGATGTGATTTAGACGAACACTACTACTGTGAATGACTATCGAAATTTCGAATAAAAAATTAACAAGTCATGCTTCATGCTATTGTCAGATGCTGATTTTATCTAACATCAATTAAGGGTCAAACAAAAAAAGGCATAGGAGAGAGTCCATGTGAAGTATAACAGAAGAGTTTTAGATGAATCTAAAGATAGACTTAAAAAACAGGTTTCATGCGAATATTAATTTGAGCAATTGATCATTAGAAAAGAAAGCAAAAGTCGATATCACTAGTTTCTATTTTCGCTTTTCTGTCAAATCATCCTATTCACGTTTTTTCTAGAACTCTGGGTCAAGATTTCTGGGTTTTCAATATCAACATGCTCTAAACTAGTTTCTTATATGAAGATGTAAAAAGCAGTATGACAAAATATATACAACAATTAAAAATCAGATTTAAGTAAGAAATATAGTACTGTCGCAGTGCTATATTTCTTACTTAAATTAAAAATCTATAACCTAAAATTTAATTTAATTTTATCGTTGCAAAATCTGGAACAAAAACAAATGGCTGCATGCAAGACATTAAACAGAATTTACTTGAACTGTTGATAAAATATCGTTCGCTTTTGTTATTTGAAATCTTGTTCCTCGAATTGTTCCCCCAGTATTATTCTCTAGTGGGGCCGGTGCTTCAGGTAGTGACGTTAATCGTTGAAGTGACGATCGTTTTGTCACCTGGTTATTTTTATGTTCACTAAATGAAAGATTTAATGTTCGATTCGAATGAAATGATGGTATTTGTTCACGTAGAGAATAAGAACGATGAAATGATGATTTTCTTTCTTGTAAGCGCTGTTCATATAAAAATATTTCATTCCATTTTGGTGGCAAAACACCAATTAGTTCATAATAAGGTGATGATGGATCACCATTTTGTTGTTTATGCATACTATAGGGTAGCAATCGACTAAGATCCATTCGTTGTGTTTCGTCACAGAATTCTAAAAGATCACGTGCCATTATCTGAACTTTTTCACGACTATTAGAACTTAATACTTCATAATCATTACGGTTATAGAGATCCAAATCGTATTCTTTTGCAAATGTTTGTAAACGATGTAGATTACGTTTTGAATTGTGACATTGAATAAAATAATTAAAATTATTTTGACTTTTATTTTCTCTATTTGAAATTAGATCGTCACTATTCATTGAATCATTGTTATGTTTCGTCATATCATTTTGTTGTTGAGTTGTTGATGATGATGATGTAAATGTTTTCCATCGATTAACAATTGCTTGTGCTAATTTCGAATCACCACTAACACCATCATGTTGTTGATGAATAGTTTTATTATAATCTCTAGCAACACGAACATCATGATGAAAAAATTGTGTTATATCGTCATTGGTTTGATTTAATGGTACAACTTCTTTTATTCGCAATATAATTAATGCCATAATGATAATACATAGAATATTGACAAATGTTAGTAGTAGACTACAGACACCAAGTATCGATGCTTCTGTGGCAAGATTACAACTATACAATGGAAGATACTCGTTATTTACATATTTTGTACAGTTTTTCACTAAACTATGCTTTTTTAAAATATTTTTAAATTGAAATTGATTATCGTTGATATCGCTAGAATATGCTGCAACTGACGAAAATGATGTTCCTAACAGTGCATATGCAAATAATAATCCACAGTTGACTGCTGGTGGTAGTAGCGAGGCTAAAAGCACAAAACAAAATTGCTGTTAAAATTTTCTTTAAAAATATAAGAGAAATCTGAGACTTTACCTGAAATTGCAACTCCCACAAGAGATCCTAGAATAGAGAATTAGACGAGGTTAATATGGTATAAAATTTCTTAAAATTTCTTACCAGTATTACCACCAAGCACTGATAATGCAACACCAGCTCCAGACGGAAGCGCTATCAAAACGCCAATCCAAAGTCGTGTAATATCTCCTCTTGATCGCATCTCCATGGTTGGAAAAGATGTTGAACTACCCCAATTTGTTTCAAAAAATGTTGTAAATAAACCCAATAAAAATCCACATGATAAACATATTAGTAGTCCAATAACTTCATTTCTTAAACCACATTTCCATAAGCTATGTTCACGTACCGATAAACCAAATACCACGCCAAGAATAGGATTCATTAACGGTGAAACGAGCATACTTGCAACAATAATGACTGTACTGTTTTCTAAAAGGCCGAAAGCTGCTAACATACTAGCTAATATAAGAAGAATAACAAAGTCGAACGTAAGAGCTGTTGATACACGTATCGCTGCAACAACCTGATGAACCATCAATCGTGCACGAACACTTTTTTTAAAATCTGACTCATTAATTTTATTTTTTAATTTTTTTCGTAGAGTTAACGTCTCTTGAGACATGTCATTTGAATCACCACCATTTTGCACTAAATTATCATCCGCCTTTTCCTCCGTATTCAATTGAGATTCTACACCCACTACACAACTTATGGGTAAAATAAAGATCCTTGTTCCACTTCTGACACCAATACCAATACGTCGTAATTCTTGTAGTAAATGATCACTAACAATACCAAATTCGGCAAAAAATGTTATCTGATACGTTTTTTTATCATCCGAAATCATCCATATAGGTTCAATGCCCGCCATATTTTCTAGGTATGATTTTAAACTACTACATAGAGAACGTTCACGACCGGCTACACGAGTGGGAAGATCATTACTAACATCGTCATTTGTTTCGTCGAACACAATATTGACTACATCGTGTGAAGATGATAATAAGCCATCAGCGCCAATAAGAGCCGGTAGAGCTTGAAAAGAGGAGGACTGCTATAATAGAAAAAGTGCACAGATCATTTGCATGTAAAGTTCTGATTAAGAGAATTATTTCACTCACTTGAACTTCGATTGTATTCTTTAAATCTTTCACGGCATTCACCAATGCTACGGTAGTTTCCTCTACTAGATCATTCGGTACTGTAATAATGAATAGTGCATAGTCAGCCGACATAATCAACTTTTGTTGCTGCTAACTTGGTTATAATTTATTTCATATGGATTCTGTTAGCAACATCTTTAACATATGAAAAAAATGTTTTTTTCTTGGTCTTATTTCTTTCTTCCTCGTTTCTATTTACAAAAAAAATGTACAAATTCAATTTTTGAAAAATCATTTCTTGATATCCTTTTCATTTTAAGCTAATATATACTGTTAAAAATGTTCTAGAGCATAGAAAATAAAAACTCAAAGTGTATAGAAATTTAACAAAAACGATTCCAGAGAGGAAAGAAAAAAAAGATGTAATATTTTTGAAATTTCTCTGATGAGGAAAAATCATTTCACGATAAAGTACTGTTTTGATGAAAAACAGGTGTTTATGAGTCATTTTTAATGCTGACCACGAATCTGATATCCATTTGTGTTCTTCCTCCCTTTGTCCTCTGGAAATCCGATCTACTTCGAATGAATAATTTTTTGTACGACCATATTGTGAAGAGCTTGTCTAATTACATATGTGACCAAATTTTCAGATCTAAAGATGAATTTTTGGTGCCTCTAGGACAATTTTACTATCGAAATTTGATGCTTGATCAAAACACTCTAAAATTGCCCTATCTCTTCCAATCTTTAGATCTGAAACTTTGGTCACATATGTAACTGGACAAGTTCTTCACAGTTTGGTCGTACAAGAAATTATTCATTCGAGGTAGAGAATCGGATTTCAAGAGGAAAAGGTCAGGAAGAGCACAAATGGATATCAGATCCGTGGTCAGCATTAAAATCTACTCATAAACACCTGTTTTTCATAAAAAAAACGATTTGTCATTAGATCTTTCCTTTTCGGTAAGAGAAGTTGGATGTACAGAACCAAAGAGATACTTCTCACACTCTTTTAATCAAATGTAGAATATTTTCTTTTATTGAGCACTCTATAAATAGTTATATACATCAACATAGGGCACGATGGTTAATGCTTCTAATTTGGGATGAGAGCTGTGAGAGTCGACATCATCATTCCCATTAGTTCATTCTAAAAACTATGTCAGAGAACGTAGTCGCGTTTTCTCATTCTTCTTTTTGTAAAAACAGTTTCTATTCGTAATTACAGAAAACAACAAATTATATTAGAGAAGAACCAATATCTAAAACGAGTAGAGAGTCTAATAGATATGAGAATATCTCTTTTTCTACACTATATATGCTATTTCGGAATAATTTGATGCAAATGAAAGAATAGATCATATTACATTCGATATCTAACCTTTTTTTCTTTTGTAGTAAAAAACAAACTGAATCGTTAAGAAACACAAAAGAAAATTGAATTCGTATATACTAAAGAAAAATAATCACACGATTTTAAAAATTTTTTTATAACCATAATCTGTAACTTACTTAATATTTTGTCTGATGACCAACGTTCATAATAGCGATGCTATATTTCACATACAAGACGTACAACAGTTTTTTCAGCCAGACTAATTTTCGTCATCTACTCATGTCTCTTCGTCTCTTTTTAGCAACAATGTTAAAAATATACCATATGTCTATATCATTAGTTTAGTAATTGTAAGAAATATATATCACCCAGTTAAAAAATAATAAACTCCTATTATTTACTATTTATGTAATATGATCATTAGAATATCTATCTGCATATATTTATATATAAATATATAATTTACTTTGACCTTTTTTCTTATTGTTGTCGTTGACTTGTTACATATCTGTGTGTACATTTCAAAATCCTCAAGATTAGTTTTAAGCATATTGTTACCGTATCATAATGCATGACATAAAGCATAAAGAGATTTATTTCTCATTTTGTTAAACAAGACATTAATTGAATGAAAATAAATTTAAGTTTTTATGATTTAAGTTGAATGATGATCAAACAGTAGGGTGGAACAGAAGTCGGTTACAAGTCAAAAACTTGGGGTCATTACATTCTTTAAATTACAGCTAAAGAATTTGAAGTCAGAGAAAATTGTATGAAAATATAATTTTTATTACAGTAACCATTGAATGTATTTGAGATACATAGTACAGAAGAAGAATAAAACAACGCAAAAAAAGAACAAATGATAAACAATTTTCTCACATCGTGATGTGTGATAATACTATTACATACGTGTGCAAAAGAAAACAAACAAAACTCAGCTTGTGATTGACCTATTCAAAAAGAGATTACAGAGTATATCACAGTATCGTGATAGATAAAAAGATAATAGTAGTAAATAATTAACACAACATGATGAATTTTCGATTTGATTATGTAATGTTCTTGCGGTTCTACAAACAATATTTTAGAACTTTAATTTTGTTCTGCCGTTGATCACAATATAAAAAATCTTACAAAATTTTTGAATTGCTTAAATTGTTGTCAGATCTTAAGTACAAATCTAACATTAGCTTCTTATTTTCTACCCTTCGGACAACATACTTGAGTTTTTTCACATTTAGCTTTAGAAAAAGACACATTTTTCGATTCCAAGCATTTGGATTACTTACACACTTCATTCTTAGCGATCTGAAGCTGAACAATGTCTTGTAATTCATTAAATATCCTACTTGTGTAATAATACCAATAATATCACTCAATTGGTCATATATTCAGGTGTGATAAAATGCTAACATGTTAGACTATTCTAGCATTCAGTAGGATTTTTACACTTCAAATATATGTTCATAATAAGTCGTAATCAATGATGTTTTCTGGTTGTTTTGTTATAATTTTTCCTTACGTGATAAAATTTGTAAATATAGAACAAGTTGGATAGCATAAAAATATTCGAAAAAACGATGATTCAAGTAAAAAAAATGTAAAACTACTAGGCACTCTATAGAAACTGCCAAGTCGACGTAATTGTATTGAAACTTAAAATTTGAAATATCATGAAACTAGGTATTAAGAATAGTGATTTATTACTCAAGTCAGCTCTCGGATATATCCTCAACATTCAGCATCCTATGTATCTATATGATGTACCAAAAAGGTTGTCATACTTTCTTGTTCAATCTTTTCATTATGAAATCGTCAATAGTCGTTCAGTTTTGTTTAGACATGGGCAGTACCAAGGTTTTTCGGTTCCGGTCCCGAAAAAAATTTTGTTCGTAAAATACGAAAAAAAACAATCCTCTCATGCCGGAAAGGCTTTTACTGTTTTCACGAAATTGTTAAAAAGAATTCTTGATTCCAGTCCCGGTTTCGATCCCGATCAAAAACTTTTTTAATTCCGGTCCTGATCCGATTCTAATTGGAATCGGAACTGGGACGATCTCGCCCGCATCTAGTTTTGATATGTTCAACAGTCAATAATAAATTAATTAACTAATATATTTAGAAACAAAACAAATACTTTAACATCACAAGACAGTTAAATTATACAAAAAAACATGGAATTTGAAAGTTTAGCTACTTGCAAATACATCACTGTATGCATTTAATTGTTCATTCGTTAATTCATATTTTGTTATGTCATTCAGACCACAATCCAAAATTTCAACATGTTTTTTTGGAATGCTGGTACCACGGAATGTTTCTAATTCACCAAGTTCATAGACAAAATCCTAAAATAAAATTAAAACTTAATAATAAATGATTTCATTTATATGATAACAAAAACTGTTTACCATTCCCGATATCACTCGTCCAAACGCAACGTGATGACCGTCTAACCATCGAGCGGGCACGAGTGTGATAAACCTGAAGTTTAAAAGTGAAAATGGCTTGAAATATGTGGAAAGATCATGAAAAAAATAGCTCACCATTGTGATCCATTCGTATCTTTCCCATAGTTAGCCATTGATACCCAACCAGGAGATCGATGACTCAAAATAAAGTTTTCGTCGATAAATTTGTCACCGTAAATACTTCGGCCTAATAAATGAAGATGTATATACCGTTTGCAAACAAATTATTGAATAATGATAATGGAATAGGATGTAGACAGAAGCAAACACTTGTCTCTTACCGCCAGTTCCATCTCCATTTGTGAAATCGCCAGTTTGTATCACAAAGTCTCTTACAATTCTATGTACAGGTGTGTTTTTGTAACTGAATTGAATCTAAAGTTGTGCAATACACACACAGTTATGATTACTCCAAAAAATAAGCAACAGTTTAGTACTTACTGCACCACGTCTAAGACCTTTGGTAATCGTGACAAAGTTTGTTACTGTCATAGGACAAATTTCCCCGAATAAACCGATGATGATTCGTTGTTTCTTAATCGGTACTGCAGATAGTTTATCATCCATTATGACGATATCAAACCAAGCTTCATGTGTCACATAGTATTTGTCGGGTGCTTCATCTGTATGATATGTTGTAATATTCGTTTTTGGATCTGTTACTAAGATTCCATGATTCCCAATTGACACAGTTACAGTAAATGAACAACACAACAAAAACATTTTAAGATACATGATATGAGATCTGGATACGCTAAATAGGTACAGAAAAGAGGCATGTTAATCTCTCAAATTTCCGTTTTGTTTGTAAAGAAGGAAAGAAAAATTCATCTGATAGAATGACGAGATTTGATGAGTATTACATAAACTTTGAAGAATGGGAACATACTCATCTCAATCGTACACTACTGTTTTGCACAAAGAAATCTTACCTGATACGAATTTTTGTCTAACTTTTAGTAAACCGTAAATAATATTATAAATGCTTGTTTCATGTATATATATATATCATCAAAAGTGTGAACGTTTCAGGAACGTCTACGTGGCATCATCATCCAATATGATACCAAACACAATTATTGTTCGAGATCCACTTGAAATTCATTGACCTTCTTTCTTATTCATACAGAGAACGAAAAAAAGCTACTCGTAATTCTACAGTTCTTCTTCTTGCCAGAATACAAATATGTTTTCAGTTAGTTAACTGCTTCTTAATCAGTATTCAGTAAAATATAATCTGTCTCGTAGAAAACGGATCAATGGAGAACGACTTATGGAATTTGTGCAAAAATTTGACAAAATATTAAAACTTCAGTTGTTGTCTACATTCAGTTAGTGGAAAATAAATCTTGGTATTTAATTAAATTATCGATAACAGTGGAAAAACACATCCTTGATCAACGCATCCAAAAACGCAATAAGTAAAAAAGTCGAAATTAAAAATCTTTTTCCAGAATTATACATGTTTTAACCACTTAGATATGAATTTAGGATACCTAAATGACATATTAATGAAAATATTTTTAGGTTGAAAGAAAATTATCATAAAACCAAAATCAAAGTTTTATTTCACAAACTCTTAATGTGTAGTTATTTAGTGTGAATGATTTCTCACTTTTTCTATCCGCCAAACTGATTTAGACTTTGTCAAGATGCTCTTGATGGGAAGACCAAAATAGCAAAATCCTTTTCCTGATTGCACTGAAATTGAAAATAGCTTATAGATTCTTTTTAAATAGAGGTGATTGTTTTGACAAAAAGAATGTTCTGTGTCATATTGTGAGTCTAAGATGACTGAAACCCTCCCCCCCCCAGAATAAAAGGCCATGCCCTTATACAGTGTCTCGGCACATCGCTACCTTTTGGGTGACCTTCTATTGAGGATCAATTTTTGACCAACTATTAATAATAATATTTTTAAAATTTCAATAATTAATTAATTTTTAATTTTTTAAGGCACTTTTCAATGAATAAATGCGCTCTTTTGTGAAAAATACACTATTTATGAGAACACGAAGAGAGATTTCGCGAACATCCCTAAAAAACCAGATATATTTTCATAATTATTAGTTAATATTTATTAAAAATATTGAGTTTTTAGAAAATATTAATTAATTAATAATTAAATAATAATTAATTAAATGCATGGCCTTTTATTAGGGTATCTGAACTTTTTCCCAGACATGATCTTACACAGAGGGTGGCCTTCTATTCTGGGAGGGGAGGGTTACTATACATGTGTATTAAAAGATCTTTCTATCTCCTACATTTTTAGGCTCAAGACTATGCAGTGCATGATACGAAGCTAAGATTAAAAATTTAAAGATACGCATCACTTATCAATTCCAGTATTCAATTGTAATAGTCGTATTTATTAGTTCATTTAAACAAAAAAAATTTTTGTAGTATGCTAAAATGCAAACACTGTTTTTTCAACAAATAACCATCAAATAATTATCACAATCGCTTCATACATGTATCAAACCTGACTGTTCACATTAAAAGTCGAACTAGGGGCTCATTTCAGAAATATTAGATAATGTTCGTCGTACATTATTTCTTCATTAATAACTGACCATTCCGCTCATATTTTATTTTATTTTATATGATATAAAGTGCATCTCCATAATATAGACAACGAAAGAAAGATGGGTAAATATAAGAGAGCGATATGAACATAAAATAGTGACTGTGCCGATGGAATAAACAGAAAATGAGAAACAAACAAAATGGCTTTCCAATCACTCACACACCAAACGAAATCATAATTAAATGGAATTAGAAGCGCGTGACATGGTTTTTTGAAAAAAACAAACAAAAAAGACCCGAATATATACAATAGACAGTGTGAACACTTTGGTAATTTAATAAAAAAAAATGTAAACACACAGACATCAAGAATGGTACTATATACTAAAAAATAGAACACCCATGGTCCATGATCCCTGACACGTGCGGGTGTACGTGGATAAACAGGCACATACATCAACTACCTGTTCACAATATTTTAAACACGAGAAGCAAAAAAAAGATTTTCGTTACTTAAAAAAGAGAAAAGTCGGATTATATCACTAATTTAAAGAAAAAAACACGTTCTTCATGCATGTGCATATGTCTATTTATACACATACGCTTTTTTTCTCTCTAAGCAAAAAAAGTTAGAAAAAAAACAACGAAAATATGGAGCTACAATTCAAAAAAGAATGAAAAAAAGTTATGTTAGAATGTCTGATCGTTTACAGATCTAATGAAAAGCACACACACGTGTTTATAGTCGATTATTATTGGGTTTTTGTTTGACTTTCAAATGTGTTGAGAGAACCAGTCTCGCACAAAAGTTGTTTAAAACTAACAACAGACAGAGAGACATAATAGACCGATATGACCAGCAGCCGTTATAAAAAAGAACATAAAGTGAACAAAAAAGAAAAAATCAAAAGCAAAAAAACATCTGCTGGTTATCCGGTAATAGGCTCTTTACTCTCTGTTTCTGTGCGCAGACCTAGAACGGAAAACAAATATATGCCGCGTATGTGTCCAAGAAGCACATTTTCCTACTTATTCACACACATACACACACTAACAATCAAAAATAAAAAAAACTTTAACAAAAAAAAGATACTTCAACACTATAACCTTTCTTCATGAACTGTTCTCAAATATTTATATAAAAACAACACAAAAAACCGACTATTTTATAGAATTTATTCGTGCGTAGATACGTGCGTCTTCTGTACGACTTCATCTTTTCATTCTTTTCGCTTACGATCAAAAAACAGCATACAACAAACCGTGTGTGCGCAAACAAAAAAACGGAAGAAACAACAAAGAGAGCAACTGAAAAATAAAATGTTTTTTTTAGAATAAACGAGACGTAGGGACAATGTTTTCGTTTTGTGATGCGAGTGATTAAGGTTCTTTAATGTAGGTATTTAAGCTGTATTATCCCACCAACTTTGGTCTTGTCGTACAACATTTCCTGCCATGCCTAGATTTTGTTGTTGTTGTTGAAATCGCATCATCATATCATAATTGTTGGAAGGATCATTCCATATTTGCGGTTGTATTTGTTGAAGCGCAGGTTGTATGTTATGCATTGCACCATCAGACCATTGAGCTTGTGGTGCATAACCTCCACCGGCTCCAATATTAGCTGAATTTTGCGGTTTTCGAGTACTACGTAATTGTGCAGGATTACGCCAATCTCGTGCTCCAAATCCACCATTATTGAAACTAAAAATTAAGTAGAAAAGGTAATTTTATAAATACATTGGCTGAGAAAAAGCATAAAATGTTTTTCAGTCAACGAATTAGTGTGGGATCGATTCTAATACATGTACGTCATCAGTAGGTAGCATTCGAACAAACGGTTGCCAAAATTTAAACTAATTCACACGCAAGAGTAAAACCCAAAAAATTATGGAAAAAAACTTGTATATAAGCCTGTTTTTCCAGCGGATAAAGAAAATATCGTACCGTCTTCCACCATATGATTTTTTAACGATGCTTTCTTTTTTCACTTCTTTTGCCACAAGATCAAGCCAGTCTGGCACTTCTTGCTGTGATTCTGTTAAAATATCAAGTAAATCAATGGCAATATTTTTATTTTTTTCATTATAAAATGATGTTGCTTGACCTAAACGACAGAATAAACTCAATTAGTATAAGGTAACCTATATTGACAGAAATGCTAATGCTTACCAGCCATTCCTGCACGACCCGTACGCCCAATACGATGTACATATTCATCAATATCTGATGGCAAATCAAAATTAATCACATGTTTCACATGACTATGAAAAGAAAAAAGAATTTTATTAAATTTTAAATGCAGAATTAACAAGACTTACGGTATATCAAGTCCACGGGCAGCAACCGATGTCGCAACTAAAATTGGTGTTTTTCCTAACTTGAACGATTTCAAAGCTTCTTCTCGTTGTGCCTGTGAACGATCACCGTGTATAGAATTAACAAAATAATTGTTGCTATCCAAAAATTGATCGAGCATATCTGCACCACGTTTTGTTTCAACAAAAACAAGTGTCAATGAATCGGGTCCTAGAATACAGTCAGTTTTTAAAAACAAATATCAACAACCATAACAGTCAGTTCATACCTGCATCAACATTAAGTAAATCAAGAAGAAATGAGCGTTTTTCTGCTTCTTCTACCCAGACAATCTTTTGTGTTATGTTTTGTGATGTTGAACCAACACGTCCAATGGCCAAAAATACGTAGTCATGTAAAAAATCACGAGCTAATTCCTTAAATAAAACAAACGGTGGCTTTAAGCTTGACCGCAAAAAAGACTCTAATCGTTGTAAAACTGCGACTTCATTATTTCAAAAACAAAAACATGAGATAAAATCTTCACTCATCAGCAGATAGACACAGTGAGTACTGAAAAATGTTCTCACTTGTATTTGTTTTGGAAATGTTGCTGAGAACATAAGTGTAAGACGTTGACCAGTTGGCGGCATATCTGACTTTTCAACAATTTCACGTATTTGTGGTTCAAAACCCATATCCAACATACGATCTGCTTCATCTAATACCAGATAACTGAAACAAATCAAAACAATACATTTGAAATAACAGTTTCTACCTATAGCTGATATGGTATTTACCGAATATTAGCTAAACCAATTCGTCCACGTTGAATCAAATCATTTAAACGACCAGGGGTTGCCACTAATAAATGTGCACCTTTTTCAAGATCACGTGTCTGATAACCAATATCAGCACCACCGTAAACAACACACGAACGAACTAATGACCGATAGGAAAACTAGAAAGAATATAGAAAGAATATATATTTCTGCTAGTACTACTATGTCAATTACCTTTCTCGCTTCTTCGTATATTTGTGATGCTAATTCTCTTGTTGGTGCCAATATTAAGCATAATGGATATTGTTTACGCTGATTACGATAGGAACCCAATGGAGTCTTCGACGGTCCTTCCTCGAACATTAAGTGCAAGATTGGTAACAAGAATGCGGCCGTTTTACCCGAACCTAAATCATAGAAAAGTCGTAACTTAATCAAATATATACGTAAAGTAAATGACACACCTGTTTGTGCGCATGCCATTAAATCACGACGATTTATAATCGTTGGTATAGCATATTTTTGTACAGGTGTTGGTTTACCATAATTACTTAACTGAATATTTAGTTTAGATATTTCACCGAATGGACAGTCTTCAAACTAAAATAGGAAGAAAATAAACCTATCAATCAAAAACTCGAATAGGTTCTCCACTTACCGTTTCAATTGATTGATGATCCATATGTGAAGTTTCAACGGGGATATTGTCATACATTTCAAAATTGATACCTGCTGGATGTATACCAAATAATTCTCTAGAAGAAAAAGCAACTCATTTTTTTTCTCTACGAAAGTAAATATCTAACACTTACTCTTCTACTTTGTAATTTCTTGGCAATGGTTTTGACCAATCAGTTTTTTCATCATTGCTCGATGATTGTGGTCGTCTATCTGCGGGTTGTCTATCTGCAGATTGCTGTTGATAGGCTGACTGTTGTCTATAATTATTTTGCATCCCACCCGATGGACTCTGACGTTGAGTTTGATTTTGATAACCCGAACTATAACCTTGTCTTGGTTGACGACTTGTGCCTTCTAACAATGCTGAAAACCGATTAGTCACAACATTTGTCGTTTGTAAATCTGGTGGTGCTTCAACACTAGACGACATATTCATTTGTGGAGATTGTGCATGTCGTACGTTACCAGAATCGAACGACGAAAACCTAGTGATGAAAAATATGTGAATTCAAAATAAAAGTCAACTAGGTGACGTACGAAAACAAAACTAGACTTACGGCTGTTGCTGCATCATTTGTTGACGAGGGTATCTTCCAGTGTTATTGTATTGATTTTTATTAACATCGTTTAATGCTGGTGACTCTGAACGACGCGGTGCAACATATAAAGGCGACGGATTGGCCGGATTTCTTGTTACTATTTGTTGTGTAACATTTGTGGGATATCCCATTTGCTGAGTTGGATTAAGTGGTCCTTGTTGAAGAAGTGGTTGTGGTGGTGGAGGATCTTGATTGTAGGTTCTATTATTATAATTTGAATTCGTACCTCCACGCGTATTATTATTGTTATAATTACTATTTGGATTTCCACTAGCAAAAAAGAACAATAAAAAATAGATACTATGGCTTTACTCGAAAATTTATTACTTCATTTGATTCATTCGAGGTGGTTGTTGTTGTCTTGAATATGATTGACGACCATAACCTCCTGCATACTGTCCATCTGTGTTCTCTTTTGATGTTTGATAACCGCTAAAACCACGTTGATTTTGTATTTGTTGTGGCTGTCTGTCAAATTCTTGTTGTTGTCTTCAAAAAAAAATAATCAAATTTTTTTTAAAGTTCAACAGCGACTTTTTACTTACTCGTTATTCTTCATTCTTATTTTTAAGATGTTACAAGTATTATCTTATCTGAAAAAAGTAGACAATTAAGAAATGAAATTCTTCTTCAAATTTAAGAATTGAACATTACAAGTTAGTATCCTAGTAAATAAATTTGAGACCAAGTACTTAGTTACTTTCTCAAATCTTTAAAAAGTTCTTCGTTAAGCACTTTTCAAGTGTTTCTAGATTTAATACGTACTAGACACTTGAAAGAACTTCGGATACTTACATACATTTTACAAGTACTTACCGAGTTACCTGTCAACTGCCTAATGCGGTATTTATCAAGTATCTGTATATGTTGGATTACTTTATAAGTACGTTTTTTACTTGCAAAAACTCCAGGTATTCCGGACATTACTTCCTCAAGTAGTTGTAAAAAAGTACATTTACTAGGAAAGACAACTAACTTAATGGAAAGAGAAAAAAATAAAACCAAAAAAAAAATTTAATCGGTTTCGCTGTATGTTCAAGGTGAGAGTTAAATGAACAAATACCAAATTTAAATTCAACTATTTAAATTGAGAAAGAAACACTGCATTATACATTCACGTTCTTTCTCTCCTTCTTGTTTATGGTATATGAAATACAATATATCTATCCATCGTTGTATGTTGTAATATTACTATATTCTGTGGGGTTAGGATACGCTAGAACTGAGCATCGCTAGGACTGAGAGTGGAAATGTCTGTCGTCCATTATAGACTTGTGCCTCTGTAGTGGATAAATCAAGAAAATAAAAAGTGGTTAATGCACTTCTTGTTGTGAATGATCCGTTAGATAGTATGTATACTGACACTGGTTTTTGCATGTCTCGTTTAAAATTAAAATAACAAAATCACACATTTTCAATCATACACGTGTTTGTCGTATAACTTATACACAGAATATAAACTATATTTCGGTATACAGAATTTAATTCTCATCTTAGAAAAGAAAAACATAAACTTTCTCTTATGTTCTTACACTTCAAAAAAAAAATTACTAAATCAATTTCTGTCATTGCACCTCTATTCCGCTCTCGTTCAAACCAACCTTGTTGAATTACGAGTCCAAAGTACGTTCAGTGTGTTACTTTAATGAAGTAATTTATTCGGTTATCAAAATTCGATAAAACTCAATTTTATTCCATACTTTAATCTTCTAGTTTCAACCAATCAAATGAAAAGGATAAGCTAGGACTAAAGTCAATTCTAGCCCATTTTGTGGGTATATTTCCTTGACTGTAAGGAAAGGGTATAAGAAAATTATACTTGTGTATTGATATGTCTGTCTGTCCACAAAACGGAAAAATAATCTATGGACTGACCAATCACAAGATGCAAAAAATTGAAAGAACCGTTAGAGAGTACATATTAACAAGCTACCGCTCGTCTGCACTCTCTTGGTCCCTTGATTTAGGAAGTTATATGTGCAAACGATCTTCCATGACTATGAATCCAAGAAAACGCGAACAGCGACCGAAGGGAGATGTTCGCGCTAGACGACTATCTAAAATATGTTATGCATTTTTCCGTGATTTATTGATGTGTAAGCTAACGCTGGAACGGCGTAGCGTACATAGTTCCGTCATCACTATCATCAAGTCACAGCTATTTCATGATCACGCTGTCATTATGCTCAATTCTGTTACATTCGATATGAGATCTTGCTTATCCATCGTCAAAAATGCTAAGGATCTCGTGTGGTGCCATTTTTTCACATAGATAACATTCTCGGTATATAGAGAAAAAAACCAGATGATCTCTGGTGATGCATATTAATAGTCTTCTGATGTAATGCAGCTGTCCTTCAAAAAATTCTTGGTCTTTGTCAATCTCAAGTATTTATTATTTGTAGTAGAAAAACTAAAAATCGGAGTTATACTAGGCTTGGAAAAGAAACTCAAATTTTCGCCCAATACGCGCACTGCCCATAATAATGGTTGAAATGATGAATGAATTTAATTAGAAAAATAAATACAGAAAGAATAAACACCGAGTAAGAAATAGAAAAAACGAAGAGATGCTAGAAATTAAAGACAAAAGGAACCGATGTGAAAGATTCAAGTGTGTCATTTTATGAAAAAGAAGAAAGAAGATTGATTCTTTGGTAGTTATAGATAAAACCGAAGATGAAATGGGAATTAAGAGATAGGAAAATAAGGACGTATGTACAAGTAAATAAATTAAAAGCATAAATAAAAAGAACGATAGTTATAAACAAATTTTGTCACATTTTTGGTAGGCCTTTGGAAGAATTCAGACAAATGGAATTCATTTAATGTAGTCGTCGTGCTGGCGTAGAAATATGAAACATTATGTACCCTGCATAATTTGTTAACAACGAAGAATAAATATTAAATGAAAAATACAGATAAAATAAAGTATAACATAGAATAAAAGAAAATATAGTTCTTGTCATATTGCACTGTGTGAAAGTTTGTTGAGAGGTAACGATATTTCAAATCAAAACTAGGGTTTTCTTTCCGCGACTAAAAATTTTTTATTTCAGATATAAATCAGTTGTGTGACTTTTTATCAATTAGGATTTTGATCATAACCATGACGTGTTTGAACTCCACCTAGATTCAATATTACTTCTTCTGTGGCATAGTCATTTTTAACCTAAAAATATATTAATTGTGTTTCTATATGATAAAGGAAAATTTTAGTTTACGGACGATTACCTTTCGAAGTTTTTCAATTTGTTTTGCTTCCCACTGACGCATATTGCCCTGTTCTTGAGCGGCTTTTGTTCCACCACAGCCCCATACCTTTGAAGGAAGACACAACTTGAACAGTGTTCAGAAACATGAAATTCCCTACGAGACACAAACCTCTATTGCTGATAGTCTTCCTTCACCGTTTATATGTGTAGCATTAAAAAAATCACCATCTATCGTTAGAAATGTGTGTTGTAAGTCACGACCAATGTGAAGACCTAACGATGATACACCACGTAGTTTTGTATTCATAAATATTATATTTGGTCCTTCTGAAAGGAGAAAAACAGTTAGTTTTTGATTTGATAGAGCGAATACGTACCTTGTAATATTTTTAAAACTGGCTTTAGTTGAATCAATCGAGAATGAACGCCTCCGAAATGTTTTGGTGATTCTCTAAAACAAACACAATCGAAGTTGTAAGAGCAGTGGTAAAGTGTGTTATCGTACTTGAAGTCTTCATCACAACATAAACAAAACACGTATCCATCCGAAATTTCAAACAGCATTATCAATGGTGATTTATAGCCGAATATGTGATGTTGAAATCGATTTAGACTTGCTCCATCTCGTAGACTATCGTAGAGATGATCCCACATTTGTCCATGCTAAAAGAAGCATCCTTAGTGAATGTACTTGCTTACTTATGAATTTCTGCTAGTACTTGGCAAGCACTTGATAAGTGTTACTCAAATTGAGCAAAGAATTTATATAAAATAGCACTTGGATATTATTTTTTTAAGTACATCAAAGTACTAACCAGATGCTTGCTTCGTTTGTTGGATCTCTCACAGATATTGACGTGTTACTTAAGCAAATGCTTGACAAGAAGATAAAGTAGTTTAAGTGCTTGATTTACTCGCAAAAAACTCTTGAACGTTGGATAAAACTTGCGACAGTACGTAGATCAGTACTCGTATGCAAATACATTCACTCGAAATGTTTTTTAAGAGCTAATTAAAGGTGGGTGAACCAAGAGAGATTAAAAAGACAAAAATAAAATTGTTGGACGCAAACTCACCAGTATCGATGCAATACGTTCATTTACTGTTGAACATTTGGCATCTGCCGTCAAATAAATAATGGGTAAATTATGCACCATATACCAGATCCAAGACGGCGTCAAAATGCTCTTCAATTGCATTATGGCGGTGGTCTAATTGAAAATTATATCTTCTTTTATTCATCAGTTGATTGCAAAGATAAAACAACGCTTACAGATGCTGACGCCTCTGGAGGAAATTGATCGATTGTCTGCGAATGAGGCTTCACATGCTTGCGCAACCAAAGTACAATACCGTCGAAAAGTGTTGGAAAATAAATTTTTATCCACTGTTTAAATTGTTCTTGATCAATCTCTTTTGCCTGTGATATGCCCTAACAAAATAAATATGTATAAAAGAGAACTGGAAAAAGAAAACGATTATGACAGTGAAGCTGCCCCCTTTGAATATGAGACAAAAGTCCAGAAGATTAGTTCCAAAGAAAAAAAAATGTAAATATTTACAATGCTTTTTGTCAAAGAATTGTAACACGACATATCAAGCATATTTTCGTTCATTGAGTGAGTCAATAAAGCTTCTTTCAGCTGAAATGAACAACAGCCTTTGAGTATCTCGGTCACTTCTAAAACAGACAAAAGACACTAACTAAACTAACGAATTCTATTTATACAACCCACCAGCGTTATCGATTAGGGGGTGGAAATTCACCCCCTCGTTTGAATAAAGTTACTCAGAAAATTTTGACTTACTCAGAAATTTCTTAAGAACTTTAAGTTGAGAAACTGCTGTTATGCATCTGAGTAAGTGATTTTCTCTAGCTTCTGAGTAATCCATTTATTTGCTGAGAAACTGGCTCTTATCTACCTGAGTAAGTTTCCTCAGCTAATTGAAGACTCTCAGTCTTCAATTAGCCTAAAACATGCAGTTACTCAGAAAGAAATTTTACTCAAAAAAATGCGTTCGTTACTCAGCAGACTCTCGCCCCCCTCAAACTTCTATCGAAAACGCTGCAATCCACTTACTTTCTCTAGAGACGTATGACTGATCATGCCATATTAAACTAACCAACATGTTTGTGACTTCATTCGATTTGGATGGATTTGAAAGAAGATTAAGAAAGTCTTCAAATGATGATAAAATGCTTTGATTTATAACACTGGCTGGAAAATCATTTTCTGGACATATCTGAATGTGATAATGCAAATAAACGTTCGATGTAAAAGCTTCTCATATTTTCCATAAAGACGACATACCTGGTTCAATTCTTTTAGCAGATAATCTCGTTGCTTGGTTAAATTTTGTGCATCCTGTGTATTTGAGCTTTTAGAATGACCATGAGTAGGCGATTTGTGGACGGGTGAATTATGATAAGAGTTCGTATTAGTGTGAGTTTGAGAATTTGTATTACCCATTTCAGGTGTCCTTTTGATTCAAAATGAGTTTTAGAATAATAGAAGATACCATATGCTACAAACTAAAGTAGAATAAGACTGAATATTTAGCAAACGAAATATCTCGTCATAGGACAAATATTTGCAAATCATTCTTAAGTGTTATTGGTGGTTGTTATTTACTTATTTACATGCGAACAGAGGTGTCAGCCGATCACTTGGTCGGCGGAGACTAGCTAAAACATTTTTCCGATCGACGACAACAGCTGAAAGCATCTGAAAACTTTTTGCCTTCGGCGGCGGCTGATCTTTTTTTTAAGGTGCCGGTAACCCAAAAATCGAGCAAAACGTTTTTCGTTTTTTCTGATTTGGTTGGATAGAGCTCATCGAAACAAAGAAAAACAGTCGATTTTCGACAAAAATCGTTTTTTCAGCAAACGAAAAAATACCATCCAAACTCGAACTGTAAGGTCAGGACTAATGAATATGGAGATTTTGCTGATTTTTTAAAAATTTCGTAAAATTTGGCCGAATTTCCATATTTTAATCTTTATTAACGAAAAAACTTTTTTTTAAAAACTGAAATCGACGTTTTCGTAGGTAACTTGGTGAGCTCTATCCATCTAAATGAGAAAAAGCGAAAAAAAAATCTTGTTCGATTTTTGGATTACTGGCACCTTATTTGCAATTTTTCTACAAAAAGCAACTACAAAACTTTTCAAGATTTTTCGGCGTTGAGGATTTCACACTTTCGAACTGTGTTCGGCGGCGACTTATTGGCTACCATATCTATATGCGAGTAAAAGAACGGTAACTCTGCAGTACTAAAAGACAAAGTGTGTTTATGAAGTGTACCACAATGACTCATTTCAAAACGATATATCTTTTACATAAACGGACAAAAATACAAAGTGTAAATTAAAAATTGTTGCTTCTCACACCATATAAAACAGTGTCTATACATTTAATTTCGTTAGGATACTGCACTCAGGGTGGTCAAATCGGCAGATTTGATCCTAGTTTTTAGAATTTTCTTCTGAAAATTCGTCTGACTCCAGAAGCTGATTTTTAAGATGCTCTCCTGATTTCAATTCTTTTCCTGCTGCGATTGTCCTCAATTTCATAATTATCTCTTAAATAATCAAGAACTGTTAAAACAAATTCACTCATCAGAAAAATACCACGAATGGTGTGGCAAACGGTTTGTTCTCCATATTCACTTTGTTTTGGTTCTTGTAGTTTTCTTTAAAAATATTTGTGTCTGTTTTGTTTATATTGTTAAATGAACGGCTATGAAAATACCAGTAGAATAAGGTACATGTGATTATCTTTCTTTCTTTTTCTTTGTTACGCTCATAAGACCATCTCATTACTCGTAATAACGTCAATATTTTCAAAATTAAGTAACTTAAGTATTTTAAAATAACAGCGCGGGTACATTTTAGTTAATAACTAAAGTCATCACCTGTCACTTTATGTCTAATGGTGATCAGTCCGTATAATTTCTGAATTATTGGTTGTTCAGACATCCAATTAGAATTGGTGTACAGCCTGAAACTAGGTGCAACGTTATTGATAGATATCAGCGTGTGTAACATAATCAATAGAACAATAGAACATGGAAATTTTTGTTGTCTTCCAGCAGAAACTTATTTTTCCTTTGATTCTTGTTCTTGAGCACCCATAGTTTCAAAATCATTCCGCCACCTCTGCAAAATGATATCATGCATTGTTCATAAAAAGAGCAAAAAATGATTTGTTATATCACTTATAAAAAAGTAAAAGATGTGTTCACATGACCTAGAGTAAAAGCGCGAACACCACAATCAGCCACGAACACCACAGGTTAAAATCTAAGTTAACCAATCGATAGAGCTCGTCGAACTGAGTATAGAAACATCAAACGAACGCCTGAATATTTTTTTTATAGTTGTGCTTTTTAAGCATATATTTCCAGTGACACTACGAACACCCAAAAAAGTTTGCCAAATGTATCCTCACCCTAGTCGAGACTCCTGATTAATCTCCTGCAGGAGTCCTGGAAAAAATGTCCTACAGGAGTCAGCAGGAGTCCTGTCACGAGACCCCGGCAGGATCTTCTGTGGAGTCATGGAGTCATAAGAAAAACATTCGGCTCTCTGAGAAGTTCTGTAGGAGTCCATGCATGACTTTCTCCAACAGGACTCTCGACAGGACTCCTGCAAGAATTTTCTGCGGACTCCTCATGACTCCATGTTGAGCTTTCACTTTAGAAAGTTCCTGAGAGAGTTATCAGGACTCCTTACGATTCCTGCTGGAGTTTTGCATAAACTTGGGACTCCCGTTGGAGTTTTGCCGGGAGTCTCGACTAGGGCAGGTCTTGTCCATAAATTATAAGAGAAATACCTGTGATCGATGACTGAGCGTTTTAAACTTCTCAGACCAGCTAATATCATCATTTCTGGCATCGAACCACATGAATCATACGGTTTAGTTGACGATTTTTGGCTTCAACTGTGTTTCTTGTTGTTTTGCCGAGAAGTGTTCAAATCAGGTATAGTTTTTGTATGTAGGGCAATAGGTAGGTGTTTAAAATCAGTTGTCTGGTGATCAATGATGATGTTTTTGATCTTGATACAAATTTTAACATGCAGCTATTTTAAGTGACTTTTGATAAGGTTTGTTTAGCATGATGATTGAAACGTAAGCGTGAATCAACATAAAACCCTAACAATTTAGAGATGTTGACATTTTTCAGTACTTCATCATTTATTTCAGTTCTATTTGAGGACAGTGTGCTCGCTTGTGTATCCATTGCCAATGTGTTTCAAAAAGTAAATGTTGCTATTTCCCAGATATCTCCTCTATTTTAAGCACTACAAACCTCGGATTGGTCCTAATATGATGCGAAGACTGATGGCTGAGTCAGCAGAGCCAGATTTTCGAAATTTCGTTTTAATTATTTTTCTCATAAGTTTTATCTCAAAAGTTCGACAAATGCCTTGCTAATTTTTCGAAATCTTTCTCCAAAACTAAGACAAAAGTAAAAATCCGCTCTTTTCATGAACTGGTAGAGCTCGTCAAGCTGATCAAGAATATGTATAAGTAATTCGTTAAAATTGATAAGAAATATAATTTTTAAACACCATCTTTAAAAAAACACCATCTGTCATAGTTTGACATTGCTTTCGTCTCAATTAATCACAGACCGTTCCTACAATATTTGCAATGGACTATTTTGTTTCATAAAAAAGTTCTACGGTACAGACCTGTTTCGATTAAATATACATGTTAATTCACCTATTAACATTTTTTCGACTTTAGTTCGAACCACATATAACCTGCGATAATATGAACCAAGAACTTTTATTTCGATAATGATAACAGATAATTTGATGATAAGGCTAACCATGAATTATCTCATGATCTGTCAAATCGAATTCATCTTCTCCAAGTGAGGTATGCATGATACTACTATCACCGGTTTTTACTGATGTTTTTTCATGCGTCGAACTTAACAGGCAAAAATATTGATTGTGTGTCTTATTCAATTTCTCGATATATTACGAGCATGGTAAACAACTCACATTAGAACAACTCATTTTGGAAATTCCTATTTCAACTTCATTTGTATTATTTGTTCCATTAATGCTGTTTTTTAACAAAAACTCAATAAGCAATATTTTGGCGTGTAAACATACATTATGAACAGGATTTTGTTCAAAGTTGTCGACTCCTTTTAAATGTTGTGTGTAAAAGCTTTGACTGTC